AAAAAAATGGACAAGCTTTCAAACCACCATTTAGTATATCTCTATACCAAACATAATTTTCTGTGCTTTTACTTAGTCGTTATTCAACTAGCTATATGCCACCATCATCACCGGAATCGTAGACGTACCTAATTTTTACCAGCCTGCAGGTTTACTGACTATATACACACTTAAATAACAATGTGCATCTTTTCAGGACCAGGATCATTTCTGCAGTGCAAATGACTTCTAAACTGTAGTTTAAATTATTACAGATGACTAAGAGAAATATTTGCAATAATGGAGGAACTGGGCCAATATATTTTAAAACTTAATTAAAAATCAGGTAAAACACGAGTTTTTAGAACTGTCTGAAAACTGTACTTTTTTTTCTTGTGAAGACACAGCTGTATATCCTAAATAGACCATTAATATGAAATGTTTTTTCCCAGTCTTCTATACAAGATGCATCTGCTTCTTTAAATGTCACTGGGATTGGCAAAGCTTAAACTTTATATTAAAAAAAGGGCCCAGTATGAAAACAACACAGCTAATTTAAGGTTTAGATTAAAGAGCACTAGGTGGGCTATTTGCAAAGATTTTTTCCAGTATCTGCATAGACTACGGCACAGCCCTTTGTCTGGTGTAACTGTGTTTCCAGAAATAATAACCTTACAGTGGTGACAAAAAAAAGTATTGGTGCATGTATTTTAGAAATAACTTATTGGCTGTATATAGGTTATGCTTTACGTTGTTTTCATACTTGAAGCTGTCTCTTTAATTCTTTTTTCCTGTTAACCTTTTATGACTTGGTGGTTTGTTTTAGGGTTTAGTAAACTGGGGAAGAAAGCTCAAGGGAAAATTATTGCTATTTGGGAAAAGCAAATTGAAACTATTATAAATGCTGCATTTTAAAGACCTACCAATCATTTGCACTATAAAAAAAAAAATTGATCTTTGACTTGGGCATCCATTAGAGCAGGCGTGGCCAAGCCACGGGGAAATTTGACAGGACTGTTTATAGGGGGAATGCCAGCAGTCCCAGTAATTTGATAATCCACATTAAAACCCAATTTTGCATAAAACTCCTGTGAGCAACTCAGGATAGCAGAAGAGACTATACTGATTCTTAGAGATGGTTGCATTGCATTGGGCTAAAACATTGTGGAAGTAGTAACTCATTGTGTAATAAATCTTACTATACCTTTTGTAGGAAAAAAAAATCCCTCCTGCCTCTTGGGTTGTCATTCTGGCATCTTTAAACAGTATTATGTGTACTTAAAGAAAAGCTGTACAACAGCAGCATTGCCCTTTGTGAGCTGTAGTGAAGCATTTTTAAGCAGAAATGTGAATGCTCTCATTAAAGTGTTCAATCACTGATCTCTTAGGAATAGCAAATGTTTATTTAAAAAGGTCAACAGGAAAAAACTTCAAGACAGCTTCTGGGAGGCTGGAAGCACGTTAAGTGTGGGAGTTCATAGAGCTGCTGAGCTGCAAGGTAATAGTTGTATTGAGAATAAGACACGCCAACATGCTGGGGATCTTGCTGTGACTGTAAATGATTTGGAGTTCGGTGAGTATTCCTGTGTGCAAAATCTGTTTCTTAGCGACGGAGCAGGGAGGAGGGAGTCGGTAGTAAGTATACGGAGCATTCTGAGACAGAAATACGCTTTTCGCTTGAGAGTGCAACGGGATGCCATAGCCTGAGCTTGGAGTGGGTAGTGGGGACCTTCAGAATTTTCCTCCTACCTCTGGTACAGGATTCTCTGTGGCCCTGCACTAATGAGCTGAGTTAATCCTCTTGAGCATAAGAAGGCAGCACCAGGAGATCCTAATTATAGCACTAGCCCAGGTCTGTTCTTCACCCAGCTGCCTAGGGCAGAGAGGCAGCTGCACAGGGTGAGCTCTAGCATGGGGAAGAGGCAGAGCAACCAACTCAACTAAGGCATCTCCCTTACAAATCTACCCGCCTATGTGGTCATGTCAAAGTCCGGCATTTACAGCCTGCCATCTACTTGGGAGGGATTCTGCAGTTCATCTTTCCTAACTTTTTGAGTATACTATAGAGACAGAGCACTTCTTGGAGTGAGATTTGTTTCTGGATCTTTCTACCATACTACTGCTGTCTGTCCAGCAGAAGCTGATTATCTACCTAATAAAAATATTACAGAATCACAGAATGTTAGAGATTGGAAGGGACCTCGAAAGATCATCTAGTCCAATCCCCCTGCCAGAGCAGGAACACCCAGATCAGATCACACAGGAACGCATCCAGGCGGGCTTTGAATGTCTCCAGAGAAGGAGACTCCACAACCTCTCTGGGCAGCCTGTTCCAGTGCTCTGTCACCCTCACCGTGAAGAAGTTTTTTCTCATATTCAAGTGGAACCTCCTATGTTCCAGCTTGAACCCATTGCCCCTTGTCCTATCACTAGATGTCACAGAGAAGAGCCTGGCTCCATCCTCCTGACACTCACCCTTCACGTATTTATAAACATTAATTAGGTCACCCCTCAGTCTCCTCTTTTCCAGGCTAAAGAGACCCAGCTCCCTCAGCCTTTCCTCATAAGGGAGATGCTCCATTCCCTTCATCATCTTTGTGGCTCTGCGCTGGACTCTCTCCAGCAGTTCCCTGTCCCTCTTGAACTGAGGGGCCCAGAACTGGACACAATATTCCAGATGCGGTCTCACCAGGGCAGAGTAGAGGGGGAGGAGAACCTCTCTCGACCTACTGACCACGGTTTTGTCATGTATTTGAAGTAAGAGACTATTATGTACTTAAAGCAGTTTTTGATAAATAGCTTCTTTGGCAAACCAGAGAGAATGGAAATAAAAGGATATTCAAGTTAGATTTTCATATGTCATAAGATATTACTACACAATTATTTTCAGTGCAGTTGTGCAGAATTCCATCCGGGTAAGGAACTTGGCTTGTAACTGGTTTTTGTTTTTCTAACCATTGCTTCCAAACCCTCCCCTCACTCTACCTTTATATTATTCTTTGTCTACATATTTTATATGCAGTTCCATATCAAGACACCTGATTCTTCTCTCAAGCCTAATTTTATCATGGTTTTAGTTTGTTGATTTCCATTGCATTATGATAATTCGAGGACCATAGTCAGTCTATCTGATTGAGAATCAATGATTCAGTTCCATTTTGCACACCTGTTTTGACTCACAAGACAGGCAAGTCATATACAAAATCATGTTTGCATAACTTTTGTAATAGTAAAAATCCAAGAGGAGGATACATAAAACAGGATGCTGGAATATTGCAGCCAACTTTGGTTTTTTTCTCTGCCAATTTAATAAAAATAAGCACTGAATCTGAACACCTGACTGTATTGTCTCACTATATTTTGGTGTAGGACTTCCTTTCATTTCAGCATTATACCTACATTTGTCACTGCATCAAGGATGTAAGAGATTTATTTCTTTTATATTTCTCCTTTTTTTTTATAGTCCTTCCTTGACACAGAATCTTATATTGAATTTGTTTGACTGTAAACAGATTCCACTTTCTCCTTTTTCAAAATGGAATATACATACCAGCAGTGAAACACAGTCCCCTGATGTCCTGATCACGTCCAAGGTGGAGACAGTCATGACAGTGACATTTTTCCTCTGTTGCATGTATCTCAGTTATTCTGCAAAACACTTACTACTTTGGTAATAAATTTAAGATCCACCAAGAATTAACATTCTGCCTTCAGCTCCACTCAGCAAATTATCTGAAGTTGCTACATAAACCCTGCATATGTATATTTATATTTAGGACTATATATAATGTAGGTGTATATACAATACTTATAACCCTTTTATATATAGTATGTAAGGGGTATATATGCCTCAGAAATAGTATCACAAAAATGGGGAGATTTAGAAGCTTCTTTTTTACAGAGCTCTGGGACACTTTATAGTGGAAGACGATATTATAAAGGTGGACAACCTTGGTTTTCATACTGAATATGTTGCAGAATGAGGAAAACTTGATGGCTTGACCTCCAAGTATGATGAAGAGAGAGAGGAGTGATGATAGAGTGGTGAATAACAAGGGAAAGAAGAGTTTTGCTTTGGGGCCATTAAGAAATTGAGGAGAGGGGAGTTTTTACTTATTTTGCAAAACTTTTGCATTAGTGATTTTCACCCCAAGGTTTTGTTTTCATCCGTATTTTCCAGTTGGTTCCAACTGTAACTCACTTGGAAATCTCTCCTTTTGGAAGCCCTGGAATTTAGGCTATTGACTGTTGCTGATTGCCTGCTGGGAAAAGGAAGCGGTATTGTCGATTACTGTAATAGAAGGCCAATTTTTCCTTTATTCCTACACTGATACATCAAATCTGATTTGGTATACAGGAGGAGTTCCATACAAAGATTATGGTGTGTTATTTACGAAACTTCAGACTCTATTATAGACACAGAGTGAATTTTTCTTTTAGCCATACAATAAGAATCTGATAGCGGTATTAAATTTCAGGCACAGAAGTACAAAGAACATGCTGTGTGGCAGAGTGAGCGCATGAACAGAGTTTGTCACTGGGAACTAGTACCTTTGTCTGCTTTGTCCATTTTATTCCCTATTTTGTTTTTAAGTAACCTAAACCATTTATTTTCTGTATTTCAATTTCTCAATCTGCAAAAGAGCAAGAGTAATTTACCTGGTCCACAAGGGTGTACGGACTAGGCTCTGTGAAGTGCTTAGAGCCTCCCTCTGGCAAAACCCAACGTATCTTCAGAATATTATTTATCAGCTCCAGCGGCTCTGCCTCAAACACTGAACTTCTTTACAAAGGTATTAGTGACAGGTGGTTAATCCTTTCTGTTGTAGGTGTTTTCGCTTTCTTAACTCTGTTGCACTCAAAGCTGGCCCTCAAGCATCTCTCTAGATGAATTTGACAGCACTGGAGGAATTACTTCACTCTGTTTAAAAACTTCATTTTGTATGATTACTGTTATGTTTGGGACTCTACCGTGGGTTTTGGTTTCGTTTTTTTTTTAAATGTAACTCTTTGTTTTACAGATGAGGGCAGGAACGCAGTTGACCATGCAGGTGGTGCACATATTGTAGTAGACCATATAAGGGCACTGTGCAGTAAAACAGATCCAGCCAGTGAGAAGCTCTTGACTGTCTTTTGTGGCATGCTGATGAACTATAGCAATGAGAATGGTAAACACCACCGCCAATTTGCTTTTTGTCTACCAGGAGAACAACTCCATCAAAAAAAGAATAAATACAAAAGTTAAAGTCAATTGTAGGTTTACATTGTAGATACTAGCACTAAGTTATTTTGAAAAGATCAAGTAGCTTAATTCACATATACGATTTTCTGTTTCAGTAAAATTATGTTCCCAAAAATACTAGATAGCTTCCTGATGCAGTTCCATATAGCATATACCCATAAAGTTTTAAAATCAGCATCTGGAATTTACTTCTTTGTCTAAAAGCAATACATTGAGATGTATCATACACCTTATGAAAAAAATTACAGAAGTAAACTAGAAGGCTACATTGTCATCTCTTTTTCATTTAGTATCAAACAGCACCATAAAACTAATTTGTCACAGGCATGCAGTGTTGTCCGGTTGATAATTGGGGGTATATATGCCAAACAGCTTTCCTTAATCATTTTTCTTCTTGTGAAATAGAAAAACCACATTACTTTCTTCTAGGATAAGTGGGGAATAATTTATGTGTATGTTCAACACTCTTCCTTGTCTACAAATTAGAAGTTTCTGTTATTTATCCCATTAAATGGAGATGTTTAGGGGCTGGGACAAAACCACAAGATAGTATCTTTAACAAGAAATCCTTGACCACCGAGGGTAAGGAGAATAGTGTTCTACACTATTTGTACAAATGTACTGATATTTTAGTACCTAGTTTGCTTCTGCACGCAAGTGTGGTGATACGCCAAAGCATATTTTACAGTGTTCATACATTTCCAAGTTTTACAAAATTTGATTCTCTACGAAAAATGGGATAAATGAGGAAAGCTAAATAGAGGCTGTTCTCCTGACTTGTAATGGTACAGATTGCAAATACAGTTAGCTAAGCACATTGTTTCTTCAATCATTCCCATTTCCTGAATTGTAGTGTTTTATCTTAGGAAGAAATAGCTTCTTTATGAGCTGCTCACCATTTCCTTCAAGTTACCAGTTTCTGGAACTCACTTTGCAAACCTGTGTCCCTAAAACTCTTCTACTTTTCAGGATGGTCCATAGGCTTAATTTTTTTTTTTTTTTTTTTTGCCTTTACCATATAGATTTTTAATCTGCTTTATCAGATCTTCTAGCATAGTTTCCTTGTGTGTTTTTTCTGCCATCTCTCTGGAGCTCTCACTCTTAGTATTACTTATCCACTTCCAAATATCACTGTTACATGTGCCTAATCTCTTTCTCTTGTTCTTACATTCTTTTTTTCTCCTCTTTTCCTAGTATTATCTAAGAATACTTGTTTACAGTACTTCTTCCTTCTTCTCCAAATACCAAGTTTCTAGTTCCTTTATTTCCTATATTTTTCAGGGACTGTTTTGCTTGAATTCTGCATGAGGGTCACATTTTCTTTCATTTCATAGTGTTAAATCCATACTTTCTTTACTTATTAAAATATTTGCAGCAAATAGATACCTCTAAGATACCCAAATCCTCTGGATTAGTTAAGGCTAATTAGCATCCAGGGTATTTGGTACCTGAAGACAGACCAGTCCAAAAGCGTTGTGTACACATACTGGATCAGTTTTGCTGCAGTGACCAAGTTCCCAGCAGAACTTCCCTAGGAAAACTAATTATGAGATAAATCTCCCAAACAAGCAGCTTCTGAACAGTTTAACTGTTATGAAGATTGAATAAATGACTCATTCCATCTAGTCAGCTTATTCTGATGCAATCAATAAAGCAGCTGTGTAGTTCAGTGACGAGGAGGAGGATTTGCTAGCTGCTCTCTACTCTGCTAAATGACATCTTGCATCTCGCATGAACTAACAAACTGACCCAATATTCACAGGAGCCACCAAAGCTATGTCAGAAGTGAGAAATGCAGGAGTATGCCCAGCTCCTGGATTTGGGTGCAACACCACCATCCTGTCCTACCACCGCATCAGGGAGGATTGCTGGAGGCTTACCAAGCTCTCACCTTACCCCACAGACTTGGTGGTCTCCATGAGAAAGGACCTTTTGGTAGGGACCCAGCTCCTGTTTGGCCCAACACCCATGCGTATACTGTGTAAGATTTGTGTCCTGTAGTTGCCTTGTGAATTTGCCCACTGGCTGGGGCAACCACTGAATTAAACCCCAAATAACCTTCCAAATCAACAGTAACAAAAAACAAAAAAGTGAAAGATTAAATTTTTAGAAAAAAACTCAACAACCATACCCAGAGCATGAGCACGAAGAGACAGGTAGTTGGCCTGTCTTGCCGCTTTTTTTCTAAGAGCCACAAGTACAATTGGACTATAACAGCTCTAAAAATATCACCTGCAGACCACTGTAAATTTTCAGGACAAGAGTCAGTGCAAGATATGAGCCCAAGACAACCACTTACTTCCACGCATTGCAGCATCAGGTGGATAATATTCTGAGTACATGCAGTTCTTTGCTGACCTATTGAACATAAAAGCTCAGATTGGCCTGACAGCTAATTGTGCTCACAGATTAGCAGATACCATTTTCAGGGTTTGCTTGGAAAGGCTTGATCCCATGTTACTTACAAAGAAAATAAACACCACATTGGTTTTGCTGAAAGATGAGGAGTATGGGATTGTAGCCTGGAGTCCCAGGCTGCTTTGGCACTAGTTATGGAAACAAATTGGACAAAGATAAAAGAAGAAATACTGGAAACATAAGAGGAAGTGTTTCAGTCTTTGAAATAGCACTTCTGCCTTCTCTTTCCTTGTTTCTGTAATCTTTACCTGCTTAGCATGCTATGTTACAAAATTACAGGTGGGGACTTTGAAGATTTCTTTGCCGCTTTTAATGACTTGCACTCTTTTAAGTTGCACTAGCTATCCAGATAAGGACGATTACAGCACATTTGGTTCTTAGTTGCATCTAATTATCTGTGAACACCCTAATATTTTCTAATCCTTAGCATTTTATGAGCAAAGAGTAAATAAATTGTTTTATTTGATTCTAAACAGTTTGTCATTCCCAGTCAACTAGCTGCCCTCTTTTTCCAAAAGCTACTACTTTAATAGCTATCACCTACCTTATTTTGTAACGAGGCACTCCTTCTGAGTACTCCAAGTTTTTGAATTAGCATAGAAATTTATCACACAGGAGTTTTACAGAAATGGCAACTAAAGAACAGCTACGAGTAATATTTTCTTTTCCTAAACAGAGAAAATTAATGGAGCATTCTTGTATCTCGTCCGGACTCTGGACACTCAGAGTTGTAACTCCACTCATAACACTGTTGTCTAAGCTTTAAAACTAAGATTCCCTCTACAAGATTCTTGTGCCATCTGCTTGTGTTCAGGAATTATTTTTGCCTGCTGTCTCTCAGTTCTTCCTTTGCCTCCTTGGTATCTTATCATTTCATCAGTCGCTACAGTGTTAACAGAACAAACTCAGCTTTGGCATCTCTTGCAGTTTTTTAAACTTATAAGAAAAAAGTGTAAATTTTTAATTGCATTGACAGAAATCGGGGGGCTTTTCTGATGGAACACGTCCCTTTGCATTCAGCCCAGATTATCTTAACCCTCTGTCATAATCATATTTTACTACCCAAATACAATCAGATGTAAATAGCTCATCCCTGCTTTCACTTATTACTTCTTAAAAAGCGAAGTTGCAGGTATGGCTAGGAATGAAACAAATGGGTCACACACGTTTGTGAATGTTTTTTGCTCATAGCTTAATCCCAAAAGAAGGAAGTCTTGACAAAAACCTATGATAATTCTTTCATTGTCAAGCTGTGCAAACTTTATGTGGGGTATGGAGCACCTACGCTTAAAGCTGCTGTTCTGGCCCCTTTTGGTGGGTTCACTATGTTGTGGTGCTCCTCCCATCCTGAAGACTCTCATTACATATAGTCTCTCTGTAGCTGTGAATTTGCTTAAAAGCAAGGGGCAAAGCAGGCTTGGATAAAGAGTGAAAAACTAATAACTAATCTAATAAAACTAATAATCATATACAGACACTGAAATAAAAGCGTTAGTGACACGAGCAGTTGTTCTGCAGGTCTCATAATCCTGTGAGCCAAGCCTATTTACAAGTTAATGGGATCAGTCTATAAGGTAGTAATTGTCTCTTGAGATTTATAAAAGAAACCATGAAAGCATTTTTAAAGAGATGCAGAAATGATGGAAGACATAGGGCAATTGGCTTATTAGGTAATCAAACTGGAGATCAGAAGTTAACAGGATCCAGTACGCATGTGTGGAAAGTATGCATGTATTTATACATGGGCACATATATGTAGATAAAAATAATTATGCTTATAGATTGCTTCCTTGCCTCATTTCATATTGAACTTCAGTCTGTCAAGGTTGTCTTTCCTTCAGTGCCTTTGTAAAATGTAACATTCTGATGTTAAATCATACAACTGCCAAGCCTTTCTTCCTCTCACAAAACTCTTTGCAACTGGAATGAATATTGGGGACCGATTTGCACTGTTTACCACCTGCAGAAGCTATGTGAATATACAAGAAATGAAAGGGAGATTTATGGCACCATTATCATGGTCTAACAGCAATATTTCAGGAATGCTTCCTTCCGAGACTTACCTTTGTTAATTTTCACACTTGCCATGGTTTTTGTTTCATTTACATCACACAGCTAGAGATGTCTAGCATGGTTTCAAGACCTAAATATACAAATGCAAAGTAACCTAAACCATGTAAAAGCAGATAAGAAGTATGTTTCTTATGATAGTGAGTTAATCAATACAATCACATGTTATAGGATGATTTAACCTAGATGTGGGGATTGCAAGCAGGTTTCTCCAGGGTACAAAATTATGCCACCAATTTGTACAAAACAATTTTTTCTTTAGTGTTATAATCACAGTTACTGATGAAACACAGAATGACTAGTTGTTTTCTGAAATTCTGTCCAAAATCATGAACTAGCCTACATCAGCTTTTTAAACTCAAATGCCCCCAATAAAGTTCTCAATTTGGGATATTCTCCCTAGATCTTACTCTTTGGAATTTCCATCTGTGTCACCGAAGGACATGGAGCCATTGAAATTCAAGTTTTAGGTAGGTAATTCTTTGTGCTGGCGCATGTATTGATTGCCTTTTATCTACCTGTATATGCATCCGTACAGCATCACTGTCAGTGCTTTTCACCCCAAGATAACACAGAAGTGTCTCACTAGCGCAACATGGGATTTGAGAGAATTTATTTTGTAGCTTTAAGTCATAAATTCAGAAGAGGCATTCGGTTTCTCGTGCTTCCTGCCTACTATGCATAAAGTTCTGCTTAGGAAGCTGATAGAAATGCTGTTTCATCCTGAGACACCATGTTGCCTGGCTTTGTGGCTCACTTTAGTCCTGTGCCAGGCAACTGCTTGTAGGATGGATGCATGCGTCCCATGAATGTCTCCTACTCTAGTAGGACCTTAACACTTCCTGCAACGCAAGGTGGAGATACGCCGTTATTCTCAGTTACCTGGCCTGCAGTATTTCATAGGAGAGCCTGAGAACTGCTGGCAGTCCCTTCAGCTAAGACTGAACCACTTAAATGTTTTTAATTTCTCTGAAATAAAAAGTGCTGTAGGTCTCCACACCAGTGAGAAGCCTAATACTTTTCTCTTAAGCTTCTTCTTAATAGAATTTGCTCTTGTATTTACTGGAGAAAGAGCCTCTTAGTGGTAACAACAAGTTCAGAATTTGTATGGCAAGCCCAGGCTTAAGTATCAACATAGCAAATAGCTGCTGGCAGCCTTTTATTTTCAATGGTTTTGCCTCCTATGCAGTTTTGTGACTCACAGGGTTGTCTTGTCTTTGCAGAGGATAAAATTTATCCTTTCAGTTACTGCAGTGAAGGCATCAATATTGGCCTTATTGGCGATTCTTGTAATCCCGTTCCTTCCACTGTAGACCATTCCTGTGCTCAGGTGCCATCCTTCTACTCCAGGGAAATGAGACTGGTATGGAGTCAGGTATAATACTAGATTTTTGACCCAATACAATTGTGCTTTTTTTGGTATATTTTCTTTTTCCTTTTTTCCTACTTGGGGATTCTAGAGGCCCTTTAAATCAGTGTGCTCCATGCTCTCTTGCACAGCAATATATCCTTCTACTTGGTCTTAAGATTCCTGTTTCCTTTCCAGGGTGGCTATGGTTTCCCTTTTTCCACTCATCTTCTCCTCTGTGCTTTTTATATATTTTGTATTAAGAGAGAGAGAGCAGGAAACAAAACCCTGCTCAAAATAGAGAGTTTTTGTTTCTGATGTCAGAATGCTTTGCCAAATGAAGCCCATAGAGATTAATTGTCTCTTTGTCCATTACAGTTGGATAAAGTGATTTTACAGTGACTAAAGGCATAGTCTAGTAACAAAGCAATTTGTTTCCACATAATTTTCTATGGCATTTGTGGTTTGTGTCTTTGTTCTCCAGCTCTCCATGACTACCACTTTTCCTTCTGAATTTTTAAGTGTCTGCAGGGGACAATCACAAACCAAGGACAAAAGTAGATTATTTACCAGTAACTTGAGTTCTCCTACACAATCATTTTCTCCACAGAACCATTCCAGCTCCCCCCTCCCTGGTTTTCCTATTCAGAGACAGATTTTTACAGTCAGTTGGGAATGAAGTAGGAGGGTATAGCAGTGACTCACACATCTGCCAGAGGTAAAATGGCATTCAATGCATGCGCTAGTGCAATTTGTACTTACCTGAAATTTGACAGCTTCAACAGCTCTTTGATGTCTGACATGGTGTTCTCATAAATTTCTCTAAAGACCATGAATCTGTGGAAGAGGTAATGTACCCCCCCACCTCCCCCCCCAAAAAAAAAGGAAATTCAGTTACTGGTAAGTAATACGGTTTTATTAAAGATGTAAAGCCATAAGGATTCCTGCTCATCCCCAATAAGCTGTAATAACCATGCCACTGACTTAGTGATCCAAATTGATAGCTATTATAAAAGTATTTTACACTGAATACAAATGAACTAAACATTCCAGAATATTTTAATAATTTTATTATATGAAAATTTCAGACACACTTAGCAGAACCTTGTAGAGTTTTCCAAGAGCATGAGATGATACTAAATTTACTAGACTTAAGTTGTAATATGTTTTACCTCCCTGTAAAAATCTGCGATTTTTATGGCTCTGTTCCCACACATATAAAATTTCCAACTGATTTCAGTTGCTCAGAATGAATTCCTTAAAAAAAATAGTTAATTCACCTGTAGGGCTCAACCCAAAGCTAAATGAAGTAATACAGTTCTCTTGAATTCACTGGGCTTTGCACCCTTGTCTTTTGAGTCTGTAACATGAAATGTAGTTAAAGTGCTTAGAAACAAAGGAAAAAAAATGCTTAGGAAAATTACTAAACAACTTCTGGTGCGTTCATGTCTGCTTCCTTCTATTCAACTGTGAAACAATGTTTTTCTTCTTTGCTATGTTATAGGTAAAATGTGTAAAAGAAAATATCGTTATAAATAATCCTTTAAAAAATCATGTTTCTGCCTAACCATCAAAGCATCTTTCTATTTGCAGACATCTAGGAGCAATAACTTTCTTACTTGTAAATACTATAACCTTTCATCCTATGCAAGAAATTATCAGAATGGCTTCTAAGGACTTTTCTTAAACCTTCCATTTTTTTTTGTCTTTATTAAACTTTCTTTTTTCTCAAGCTCCTCATAATCTACATTGTGACTTCCTGTGTTTATAAGACTTTTCATGTTTATTTCAGAGCCAGTTTATATTCATTCTAATTTTAAATTTCCAGTTTTGATCTTGAAGGGAAAACAGTATATAGGAACATGCTCTCAGATAAAGAATTATTTCACTGATGTAGTCTTGTTTGATTTCAGTCAGCTAGTCTCAGTGAGCTCAGAATAAACCCAGCATGTATTAGGAACCTAATAACAGCAAAATTATCAGTAGCTGTGTAACCCACTATACCCTTTTACCATATCAGGAGGGAATATTGCCAGGGGCAATTACAAGTCTGTATCTCCAGTCTGGACCAGATCCTAGTGTAGAAGACTAGAGGAGACAGACATTTTAATGCTGCTTAGCCTAGAAGTTGCTCTGTGTGAAAAATGCTTTTTTTGGTTTAAAGAAGAGTACTACGAACAGAAATGCTAACTCACTGTTGTACTTTCTTTTTATGTAGATACCCTGCAGTCACAGCTTATCAATATGGGTGTTATTCCTACATTAGTGAAATTGTTGGGTATTCATTGCCAAAATGCAGCTCTGACAGAGATGTGCCTTGTTGCATTTGGCAATTTAGCAGAACTTGGTAAGTCTACAATGTTACTCTCAAATTTACATCCAGTTTTCATAAAGACTAAAAAAAGCCTTGCACTAATGCTTGTTCCATGCCTTTTGGTACATTCAAAATTTAAAGCAAGCAATTTCTGCTTATTGTCTCTCAAATCTATAGCGCACTTTCCCCCCCCCCCCCTTCAGTAACTGAAATTTATTTGGGTACGTAGTACAACCTTATGTTTTGTGTTAACGTTCTGCAGTGCAACTAAGCACACGTTAAGTCATCTAAACAGTATTTCCTGAACACTGCCACTTACTCTGAATTATTTATTAATAATGTAAATAGTGTATCCTGGTGTAGCTCCACAAAGGCATATTGGGATTAAATTTGGCTCAGGGAAATCACTGAATGAAACAGAGACAGGCACAGTTCATAAATCTGCCTGTACAATATTCTTTCAGGTGCAGAGTTTAATATGTTCTAGACTAAATACTTAAATATATAAATCACAAATGCTACTAAGCTGTAGATGTTATTTTTAGCTAGTTTAGTGACGACTTCATTTAAATTTAACTTTGTGGTACTGCTTTGATCCAATGTCTTTGCAAGTGGATTAGTTGTCATTGGCATTCCACAAAATGTAAACCCACAGATTGTTAGGGCCCATGTCTTATCATCACTTCTGGTCTACGTTGCTGCTCTTCTTTTGCTAACCTACTCTGATATTTTAGACTTATGAGGTTTTTTGCACTGAGGTGTAATAATATAGCAGCTATGATGTCCTCCTGTATTTCTAAGAAGATTTAGCCATTCAAAATATGAAAAATATATCTGTGTTTGTACTATTTGGTGGCCTGAAGCTATTCACAACTCTTGTAAGCTCCTAGATTTCAAGGCTAGAGAAAATATCACGTTATCTAGCGTAGTCTGATCACATGCATAATACCTTTGCTTACAGCAGACAAGACTACTTAACAAAAAAATCAGAAAGAGCCATCAAAACAGCACTAAAGAAATAGATCAGAGATCTTCAAGATGGGCACTATGTGTGGTATCTGCACAGCAAAAATATAATACGAGTCGCATATTGGAAATTCGAGTGCTAAAATCCAACTAAAACCATAAGGATATTAAATACAATAAATGGTGTCTTTGCTGAGAACTACATTGCTTTCCCTTTTTGGAAAGACCCAGCTTTGTCCAGTTGAGTAATAAGAACCATGGGAAAGAAGCTTAACAGCAGCTGCTTCGCTTCCCATTTCCATACGCTGAAAAGGTGCTCGTTCTTTAAGATTGGCACTAAATTAATTTAGCTTGTAATACTTTAATCTCCCTTAAGCAATAGCTTAGTCAATCACATTGTAACTGTAATGTTTTATTTTTGCCTTGTAACTTCAGAGAATTTTATTGTCAGATTGTCAGTTTTCATCACTTAAGAGACAACTCCCTTCCACAGATCCCTTGAGAGGCGTTACAGAAAACTCTTATTTTGTGTCAAAGCAGAGCAAAAACCCAATAAAGAGAGTGATGGTTCTGCTTTTAAAAAATACTAGGAAGGTCAAAAATCCACTTAGGATATGCTGTGCAGTCATACATAGTGATAGAAAACAATAATGGGATGTGCACAAAAGGGTCTAGGTCTGCAGTTCATGCTTTTCCCCAGTCCTCAGGGTCAGTTTTACATTAAATTAATGCCTCACCATCCATCAGAGCAGTAGCAAAGGTTTTCTAACTACAGATGGCCCTCACTCAGGAGGTGGCAACTGGAGAACGCAGAACACCAGCCCTACCACCTGCATCCCCTGTAATGCTGCCAGTCAGGAGGAATAAGATCCAGGCAATGGCATAAGAGATGCTTTTGTTGAATCTACATTTGAAGAATCGTTTTCTGCTGGCTAACCTCCTGGTAGCAAGCTAGCCCACCCGGAAAGCTGCTTTATGCCGTCTGTGCAGTATGAAACGGCCCTGCAACAGCCACGCACAGATTTCAAAGGAAATGTCACCATCGTGAAGCCATGTAGCTATTAACAGCGTTCAGTACGACTCCTGGTCTCTCCCATGGAAAATGCAGTATATAATCTGTTAGTCTTCCTGTTAAGCTGAGGGGAATCAAAGACTTAATATATATTTTTGCAATGTTACTGTTTCTATAGCTACCTTTACATTCCATTGGGCAGAAACAGCCCCGACAGCCTTGATCATGTATTTATTTATTTTTAACAGCCTTAATCGTTATTAATTCAGGTCAGTACATTTATGTTAAAGTGTTACAACATTTTTCTTTTCATTTAGTGACAAGCATGAGTCTATTGTTCTTTTCTGTGAAGAGCACTATTAGTCATCTCACTGAATAAACCTGATAATAAAGAGGAAGAAAAGAGACCTGCCTTTTGATGCGGTTTGTTTACTTGATACTGAATTTTTCCTTTTGCTTCATAGAGTCAAGTAAAGAGCAGTTTGCCTACACAAACGTTGCTGAAGAGCTTGTGAAACTGTTCAAGAAGCAAATAGAACATGATAAAAAAGAGATGATTTTTGAAGTTTTGGCTCCGCTGGCAGAAAATGGTGAGAATTTTTTTCCTTACACAATTTTTTATTCATTCCCTTATATGCAGTTTGGTATATTGGTGTCTTTTTCAGGGACTAAATGCAGCGTAACTGGCTGCCTTGTTCAGAAGCCACCATGGTTGATCCTTGCGATGACAGTTTCGTATGAAGTGAATAGGTGTTAATTGTCTGAGCATATGGCAGGAGCCAACAAATTGTTGATGCTAATTCCACCCCTGATTCACTCGGTCTGCGACTATATTTTATTTCCCTGTACCTGCAGTGGGAATATCAAAAGCTGCTTTTTAGAGGGCTTTACAACATCTGTCATCGAAACGCTGGCTCTTGCGTTCATAGTCCATTTCAGCACCAGAACATCAGTCATTATGGCATTTCCAGGGATCACAGAACCACTGGCAGTTCAGTTTTCCTATGGACATATTTTTGCAAGGGGAATGTTAATTGCAGAGCTAAGAGCTGGACGCTCTCTCCCTCCTGTTCACTGAGAGATCACAGAAAATTTGATGTTCGGTGGCATGTATTATGGTGGCCCCAAGTAGCTCCTGAAAACTTGGGTTTCATTCCCTGCTCAAGCCAGAGCGGGAAGTGATATGTGTCCAATCACCCCTCCAGGATGTTCCTCACAAACGAGTTCTTGGGGGTTCGTGTCATTTACCATTTGCCCTTAAGGGAAATGAGTTAACAGGTGGAACTGGACTGGAGCGGGAAGCAGTTCTGAGTATGCAAGACATCACAGTATTTCATGGCTCTAACACCTTGCTTTAATCACGGAATAAGTTATTAGAATTGTAAACTCTAAAGATTTAGGTTTTATCCTACTCTGTTGTACACACTCTGTCTGTGTCTGGTTTACATAGTATAAACCATATATTTTTACTTCAATTTAAAAAGCTATTTTGTCTTTTAAGTGGTATGTAAAAACAGGATTCCTTTTTCAGTTCTAAAAACGCACATTTTGCCAAGATATATTCATTTACGACATAATAACTAACAAGTTGCTCTAAGATAGTTCTGTCCTTGAAGACTGACACAGAATTGCATCCAGCCTTTTGCGAGTTTGACATATTTCAGTTCAAATGCTTGATTTTCCTTAGATTATATTTTACGGTCACAATAAAATTTGTTAAGTTTACTGCTGCTGAACATAACTCAGGCACTTGCATGTTATGAAGGAGTCAGCTGAACTCTTCCACTGTGGATTCAAGACATACTTAAAGGAGTTCACTCTGCTGGTACTGTTTAGGTGCTTTTGATTGTAGATAATTAGCCATACGTCATCAGGCAAAACCATCTACATTAAGTATTTGCAGAGCCTGGTTTTTCTTCAATCACAACAAATTTCTCTCCCAACCCAGCCTTTTAGATTTGGCTTTACTGTTCTCCTCCTGCAGCCCTTCCAATGAATGGCAGAAGTCCTGGCTCAGCTAAAACAAATGAGCGATTACTCGCTCTGAGATTTCATCAGAAAGTTCTGTGTTTTATATTTGCATGTCTCAGTGAAGTCAGTAGCTCTTCTGTACACGGAATAGAAGAAGAAGCCCTAAGTTTGTTCTGCGGCACAGTTGAAAGTCTTTGGAAAGCCCAGACACAGCACAGTGCTTATGAATCTGCTGCACGATGACTGAGATGCCAAAGTTTGCTGTAGAGAAATATCCTTATTTTTGAGAAGCAAAGAGCAGCTCCATACAGCTTCAGCGTATAGTTGTGCACTAAAGGCAGTCCAGAGTCGGGGGAGCGCCTGGTAGATGAACACTAACAGAAGTTGGCCCTAAGAATTTAAAATTTTAAAATTGCAGGGTTTTTTCTACACAAGCTGTCAGTGAAACCATTGACATCACTACTTCTTTTCACAGTCTGTCCTGCGTGTATGCACAATAGATGTATTTTAAATCATGATTCTAACTCCTGTGATCCATACTGTTCTGCAGATGTCATTAAACTGCAGCTGGTTGAAGCGGGCTTGGTGGAGTGCTTACTGGAGATCGTCCAGAAGACTGTGGACAGTGACAAAGAGGAGGATGTTGCAGAGCTTAAAACAGCTTCTGATCTTATGGTTTTATTATTGCTTGGAGGTAAGTACAGTGTGTCACTACCTTCTGCAAAGCGACAGCAGGTACCTGTAATGCCGTTTGGCTGCTGAATTTTACTAATTGTTAATTTTCTAAATAACCTAGAGGACCTGCTACCTGCCAGTTAACATTTAATGGGTCAGATTTTGTCTCTCATCCCATTGCAGGACTGGATTAATTGCAGTGAAGCCAGCAGAGCTTCACAGACATAAAGAGAAGAATTATCCCTAACAAACACTTCTTTGGCTTGCTGACTGTCTCTGCTTTTTACCCCAGATGAATCCATGCAAAAGTTATTTGAAGGAGGAAAAGGCAGTGTGTTCCAAAGAGTACTTTCATGGATTCCTTCCAACAGTCATCAGCTACAGCTTGCAGGAGCACTGGCTATTGCAAATTTTGCCAGAAATGGTAAGAATAAGCCATAATAGCTTATGTTAATTTATCTGTACCCTTCTATCTTGGCCTGTCTGTACTGCTACAAACAAAAACTGCCTGTCATGGTAAAGCTGATATTGGACAGCTATATAGCAACATGAGTAGTTTTATACTTTACAATCCTGAAAATCATTAAGCCTACTTTTAAAAAACTGTTTCACATTTCTAGAGAGGTACAGGGCATTTCTGCCTTCTGCACGGTTTCTTGCATCGCTCTTCTAAATTTGTCATGAGCACTGCAACTCCCATTGATGATGGTGGTCAAATTCTCAACAATAAAATCTGGAAAGGAGCAAGGAAATAACCCTTCTATTCTTAAAAAACTCCTATAAAATGTTAGTAATAATCTTCCATTCACAAGTGACTTGTCTCATCTTGCACAGACGGAAACTGCATCCATATGGTGGATAACGGCATAGTTCAAAAGCTGATGGATCTGCTAGACAGACATGTGGAGGATGGAAATGTGACTGTGCAGCACGCTGCACTGAGCGCTCTCAGAAACCTGGCTATTCCCGGTAAGCCTCCCTTCGCATCGCTAATTACCTGAAGGTAAAATTCTGTTGTCCCACTGCACACTCCCCTGCCAGGGGATGGGGGTAGGAGAACTGACTGACAGTCCTAGAGGCCGCTCAGACTGCTGCTTTTCCTTCAGGCCCATCACTGCATCTTGCTGTAGCGTCCTGAGGCTTTGACAATTCACAAATTAGAGCTGGAGGTAGACTGCTAGAATAGCCGGCCTATTGCAATTGGTTACTGTTTGCAGGCAATGGACTGAATGATAATTTTGTCATTTTTAATAACTTCATTTGCATGGATTTTGATTGCCCAAGCGTAAAAGGCAGAGCACACGCACAGAAAAACAAAGCAAATCTGTAATACTTGTGTATGCTTTCTTATACCCGGCCAAAAATAAGTCTTTCATCCATTTAACCTTATTTTACTATTTTCAGTTTTGACAAACAATAACTTACTAGAAATGATCGTGTGTACATAACTAAGCCCAGGCAGCGTTAGTGGTATGCCATTTGCTTACCTTTCTCTGGTGAGTCATGCTGTTAACGTCCATCCGTCCAGCAAGCTTCCCTGTAGCCTGTGCTCAAGGATGTCTGCCAGAGACCTGCGTAAGATTTAACGCATATTGTTAGAGAAAAATGAGCAAGTAATAACTGGCCTCAGCGATGTTCTGCTTGTTCAACACTACTTTGAATATGACATAAGTACTTTTTTCTAAGCACAGTATTGGACCAAGTTTGCACCTTACATATATCTCAGAGAGGTCCAGGAAAGTGGAGAACTTGGACTAGTGGAGGGGATGAAAGAGAGTTTGGGGGGGCAATACAAGGACTACAGGCTCCAGACACGTCAGGCCACAGAGGTGTTTGTATAAATTATTGGAACCGGGGAAGAGGTTATTCTGATAATTAGATGCTTTAGATGCTAAGGCCTATGTGAAACAGAACAGTGATGTTAGGAATCTGAGAAATTTCCTCATATTTTGGGGTACGAGTACTAGCCTGGGCTCCTGCTTCATGCATTTTTTGAGAGACGCCTTTCCTAGACCAAGGGGGAAAGGTCTAGTCTTCAGTTTATGTTCAGGCTGAACACTGGACATTAGATATGCATACTAGGAAAAAGCACTTAATTTCACAGCTGTGTCTTAGCAACCCAGACGTTTTTCCACAGCACAGTATTATCAGTGCACACTCATGTTCCTGAAGTCTGTGTTCACAAGCTATTTTTCAAACTGTGTCTGAAAACTTGCTTCAAGACCATCTTAGAAATAAACTGCATCTTCCAGAAATATTCTTGAGATCATTCTTGTTCTTTATTCATGCAGTTGTAAATAAGGCTAAGATGCTATCAGCTGGTGTTGCAGAAGCTGTATTGAAATTTCTCAGATCAGAGATGCCCCCTGTTCAATTCAAGCTGCTGGGAACATTAAGAATGTTAATAGATGCACAAGGTAAAAATAAACTGTTCTCTATGTTAAGTGATTCTCTTTGGTTCAGTGTGTGATATGCTGCCAAGATTCTTACAAGAGGGAAGCAGAGGGGGTTTGAAATTTTATTCCTGAAGTCTTGGAATAAATCTAATACATCTGCAAAGGGAGAGGAATGTGGGTTGATTTTTTTTTTTTTCCAGAACTCCTAAATTGACTACCAGGGACCCCCAGAATATGTGTCAAATGCTTGTTTACTTCTGTATTTCAGAACTCTCCTACACTGTCACATTCTGAGTATGTACTGAGGCGTGAGCGTTCTGAGCTACCACTCTTGTTTTGCTGTTCACTTGCTGCATTTCCTGGCTGTACCTAGCTCCTTGGAACAGACTAACACACTTGTTAATTGATAAATTGCAATTTCAAAATTAACAAGTACCTTTTAGTGTGACAGCTTGTTCCAGGATGAGGATTTGTAAAATCAGAAGCTAAAAACCAAAAGTAGTTCATGAGATAACTTAGCCAAGTATTTAGCTTTGACCCAGTCCCGTAGATTTTTTCAAAAGATCCACTTGAGTTCTAGCAAACCTATTAGATACAAAATAGAAATTCATCAAAGAAACTTATGTGACTTACAGTCTATAAAACCTAATCTAACTGAGCAGAGCGCTCCCCTTCTGGCAGCAGTCCCTTCTGGTCGCGGGTTTCTGAGCTAGCTCACCCAGGAGTGTGACGTCACCTGTATTTTCCCTACTGCTAATCAACACACAAGCCTCATTAGCAGGGTTGATAAGTTGTTTTCAAAAACTAGGTTAAGATTTTTTCCTGTATTTTGTTTCCATTTGACTGGCTTTACTTGCTTCCATGCAACCTAGACTTTTCCTGCTGTTACTGCAAGCTAGTGAAGTTCTACTTAACAACCTTGTTCTAGTTAGTAACTTTCAGCTTACTTTTCTAGCACTTTTTTAAGTGACAACTTTTTTGTTGTGTTGTTGGCTCCCACGTCATGTAGCAGAAGCAGCTGAACAGCTGGGCAAAAATGTAAAACTGGTGGAACGATTGGTGGAGTGGTGTGAAGCCAAGGATCACGCAGGTGTGATGGGAGAGTCCAACAGACTACTTTCCGCACTTATACGACACAGCAAATCAAAAGTAAGTCAGTGGTGACAAAGTTCATCTTGTAGGATCTAAGAGTTACCTCTGCACTTGGTGTGAGCAGCTGAGGCCTCCGGTATGTGATCCTTCCAGGGAGCCAGGCTGGTTAATTCATGTGTTAGCTCTCCTCTGCCTCTGGGACCTGCCAGTCAGACACAAGCGCCAGGTTTAAAGGCTCGCTAGAATAACATGGGGTTTTTTTAAAATTGAAACAAAAATAATTTCAGAGTTGCAGGCTGGTTGAAGGAACACTGTTAGGATTCATATGGCTAAGTCTCAACTCATTTTTATTTGTATTGTATCCCATAGAAGTTCAGCAAGCCATATTTTTCTGCGTTTTAATGATGGTACATATGAAGAATCCTTGCACTCAGTTGTTATGATCTTGCTGTAGATTAATACAAAAATGGGATCCAGAAATAGTCCGTCCCCCTACTCTTCATAGAGCATATTTCAGAGTTTTAAGATTGTAAGGGATCGTTAGAAATGATAATTTATTCCAAATACTAACAGAAGCTTGGTATGACATTGAGAGAAACTGTCACCCATCACCTTCGCATCAACCAGACACCTGTACGTAAGCAGTCCACTGTCCTTGCTCAGGAGAGCGTTAGGCAAACCACAGCCTTAGAGGGGACAAAAGGTTCTCCTCTGGAAACCAACTATTTCAGGCTCAGACTTATTTTGTGTTTTCACTGATATGAACACAGGCTGAGCTTAAATAGCAAGTGTGATTCGGACAACCCAGACTTTTAACAGCAACCTCCTCATTCATGTGTGGCATTGGCAAAGTGGAAACTAGATTGTGGACCTGACCTGTACTGAGCCCCTCCAAAACCAAGTCAGCAGGCCTTACAGAGATTTAAATCTTTGCCGATTTCTAATATTACTCTTTCTAATGCCCATTCTCCATTTTATGTTCAGCTCTGATCAGGTTTCATTTTTTCCAAGTTCTCATTTTTCTACACCCCACGCACGCAGTCCACAGGATGCACGCGTGGATGGCATACGCCACCACAGATACAAGTTTTATCAATACTCTCTACAGGAAAACAGAATTCAGTTCTAAATACAGAGACACTAGTGACGGCACAGCATCAAGCAGATATTAATACAGAAGTCAACAGAATTATCACAGATGAACCCTTGTGTGGTTAATAGAGGAAACCTGAGTGGAAAACAGAGCCGAGAGGGGGGTTTGTAATGCTTTTGCTGCCCTCTAGGTTTGAATACGAGTACAGCCGTGTATGGTCCTTCACAGCACATCAGAGGTGAATTGGGTTTTTAATTTTAAAGAATAGGGGGTAATATTCATAAAGGTGACAGTAGTTTAGAAATGTCTCATTCTAAAAAAATGGAGTAGGTACTTGCGAGTTAAGCCACGCTAACACCAAACCGGACTGCTCTCATCTCTTCTGTTTCGTATTGCCTTTTTGAGGGTGATGTTCACCTACAAAATAAAAAATTTTGATGTCAAAAGGTGCTCGTTGGTTCCCAATATAGCCAAGATTCTACACCAACTCAAATAGAAATTAGCAGTTCACAGATTATTCCATCTAGTCTCAAAACTACTTTGGAGTTCCACCAGAAAAATCACAAATAATAAAACACATCATTACGAGTAAAGAAAAATGTAGAAGTACCTACTTACATGCTTGCGTACATTACGTCATTCAGAATAAAATAGGTTTTAAATGTTAAATTTTTGAGTCATTATGCTGTGACTTGTGCCACTAACATCTTTAGCATGATTATCTAAAAATATTTCCGTTTTCAAGGATTATCGTCATATTGTGTCTGTTTCCTTGCGTGCAGAATGTCACTGCATAGTCTGTGCAAGCACCGGAACATAAATCATTCTGAACACATGGATCAGTTAATGAGTTTTGGCTTGTGGCTGGCATTAGAAAGGGATGTGTGCCGCAAATGGAAATTCAACACATTGATTAAAAATTTAAATCAGATTCTTATTTCAAGAAATAACTACTATTTCAAAACTTTGTGCACCCACAGAACAAATGAAAAATAATAAAAACCAAACCACATTTCGTTGAGCAGCTTCCCTTCAGCATGCCAAGTTACCTGATCTTCAGGCAAACGTTTTGCAAGCATTTTGGGAACGGTGGAAACATTAGGGGCAAACTACCTTTTTAAATTATAATTAACAAGTAAACAAAGACAGACACCAGAAGTCTTTGTTACACATGTAAGTTGGATCAAATTTTGGACTTGGAAAAATCCCAGCTGTGTATTTTTAAACTGCTTTAAAGCTATTTAACCCCGTCAGCATTTTCATTTCCTAGATCCTGTGCAACAGCTCATTTTAACTGCAGGCTTTAGAACAGAAACCGACACATTGTTATCTCATACCTCTCCTTTCCTAACCTGCCTTGAATTTGAAAGAAAATTCTACATTACTTTGAGAGAACACTGCTCATTTTCTTGCCCATTTCTAAAACTCTTCTTCGTGTCTATTACGTAGTAAGGTGCAATATTTGTGATCTCACCTCTCTGAACATTTTGAAGAAACTCTGAAAATTCATGGAGAGAGATGAAAGATCTGATAACTTTATTAAAACTGTATTCTCGTGTCTCCTTATCCCAAAGAGAGGGTTTGTTGGGTGCTTGTGATAAGCTGCTCTGAACATCACAACATCAAGAAGGGAAAACGAATCATCTTTGAACACCAGCTGAGTTCAAATGTAACAGAGTGGACTCCTTGTTGGGCTACTGATGGCACACCATGAGAACCTGAGCCACACACTAGAGCCTGGAAGAGTTAGTTACGTGTGTCTTAACCATGTGGTTAACAGGCTTGGTTTAACAGGGTGTAGCTGATAACTGCAGAGCAATAGCAGATAACTGATAAGCCCATGTGCACATACATTGGTATGAAGTGATGATAAGTGCATAAAGCCGATGAGCATCCTTACCCAGAGATAACGTAGCGTCTGTGACAATTCATTACTTAATACAGTCTGTATGCAATGCAGACTTTTTTCATTTCCATGTTATTTCTTTTAGGATGTAATTAGGACCATTGTACAGAGCGGTGGGATCAAGCATTTAGTAACTATGGCAACCAGTGAACACGTAATAATGCAAAACGAAGCTCTTGTTGCGCTGGCACTAATAGCAGCTCTAGAGTTAGGTGAGTATCCCAGCAGTTAACTCCACCTGTTTGTTCTCCCATCTGTGCCCAAGAGGAGTCGTACAGGGAGAGTTGTGCGAGTTTATTCTGCAATGTAGAGAAGCCACCTCTTCCACCTGCGTCTCAGTGGCACGGAAACACACGACACCTCGTGCAAACACAGGCAGGCAATACGGTTGTGCAGCACACTGGAGTTTGCTGGTAATGCAGTGCTTGCTCCATTATTCTGGTAGGTGATCACATGATCTGGAAAGGCCTTCGAACAGAACTTTCAGATTTTGGGCAGAACCCAAAAGGGTAACGGTTAGGAAAATCATACTTCGGAGTGGAGACTGACCTGACAACATTCCTACACAGGAATGGTTAATACCCAGCTGAGAGGGCTTCTCAAAGTGAAGTTTTCACTTACCTCATCAGTGAGAGCTAAAGAAAACACAGAGGCAGACGATGCCCCCAAAATGGTTTTATTAGGTTCCACAGAAATAGACGCAAGAGTTGCCATATGAAGGCAAAGATGATTACATGTCTTGACCTGCCTTTGTAGTAGCTCAGCTTACCAAACAAAAAGGTAAATGCCCAACAGAGGTTTTCTTTGTCCTGTTTGCTTGTTTATTAACTAAGATAAGGAACTAAACAAGCAACTTCACATATTTTTTCTCTATTTCATCACTTACCATTGTGTACTATAGGAATTCTATGTTCAACTTCCAAATCACTGCCACTGCATCAGGGAATTGATTCAATTAAAAGGAAAAATGTTCGTATTCACATGACTCATCTAACCCTTCTTTGTCTTGTCTTCAGATATTTAAAGGTTTTGAGCCTGAATCTAGTATGTAATGTTTCTTAGAAAACTACAGAGCAAGTAACTCACACTCTGAACTTTTTCAGTGTTTATAATCAATCTTGAGCTCCCTCTACCACAGAATCAAGAATTACACCATCTGTATTTCCTCAGACAAAATTTCCAAAAGCAAATTCAGGCCTTGCAAGTCTTGAAAGTTCAAATATGGCAGATTTTGGCCTAAATAGCTAGAAAGCCTGGTGGCTTTTCCCATCATCTCACTGCACATTTAAGATTGCATTTTATCATTAAATTCTGTGATTGTCCTTTCAAGCAGTTAGGCTATTTTACATTTTCATAAAAAGAGCTGTGATTCCTGTCATCATACCATCTAATACGTGCTTCAGTTTTACAGCACTGAGTTATGTATCACAGCAGCACCCTCACTACGGTGAGAGATCCACGTTTCAATAAACGGCTAACACATGGAGACACCAAAGCCAGCAGCACTCCCAGATTTACAGATTTTCACTTGTATTTCAGTCACTGCTGAAAAGGATCTCGAAAACGCTCAGCTTGTTCAGATTCTACACAGACTGCTCTCAGACGACAGGAGTGCTCCAGAAATCAAATACAACTCCATGGTGCTGATCTGTGCCCTTATAGGATCTGGTGAGTATTCAGGAGGGACTGCTTTCCGAAGAGATTGGTGTTTAAACTTAGATCTGCAGAAGCTGGATGCGCCTAGCTTAAACTTCGACTGACATGAGAGAAATGAAAGGCATTTAAAACTACAGTATCAGGCTCTCTTTGCAAATATGCAGAGAACAAGAACTTTGTTTCACCTGTTAGTGGGAGGTTCCCCATAACTGATGTGTGACGGCTTTTGTTTATTGGTCAACTTAGTGAAGCAAAATTTGGTGGAATCTTGCAAGGAGCCTCCTTACTTTTAGTTTTAAATTCCTACAAGAATGGTAGGAAACAAAGATACAGGTAATAAATACGTGCAAGGCTGCATGTGCACACAACGGAGGACTTAGTCCAGCACGCAGGCTGGCATCCTGCTTTGGGGGGATCCTCACACTTACCTCACTGGGAAGAGTCCTGCTCTCCGCAGCCCTCACAGGCTCAGCCCAGCAGCAGGCACAACTGTTCACGGGTGCTTGGAAAGACGAGGAGGACATGCTCTAACACCTGCCAGTGCTGGGCACGGCCAAGTCTAACATTTCTGAGCTAACCATCTGCTAAAGGTCAGGCTGTTCGGAGGGTGGTGTAGCAGACTATGGCTCGGTACTGCCCACACACACGTGGGAAGCTGCAAACGCAAACAAACAAACAAGAGCAAGGTGGCACGGGAAATTGGATTTCCAGCTGAGGTTTCCAGAAGTGGCTATGTTTCTTTCAGTCAGTTCTTTAAGAAGTATTTACTGTGGGGAAGGAGAAGAAGTTTCATTCCATAAAGATTTCAAAAATGTACAGACAACTAAGATGCCAAAGAACTGGATGAAGTACAGAAAGGTGTGAGAGGCTGTCTGCATATGATTTGCCAAGTGTGAAACATTTGAAGGTTCTCCACAGATGAGTTCACAGCAATTCAATTAAATTGATTAAAAGCTATCATAGCTAAGTGTGTGCTGTCTCTGTAAACAAGGCTGCTTTTTTTTTTCCTCTTAAACAGAGTTCTCCATGCCTACTGCAAGTGTAACTCTGGTGACCTGTACATCCCTGTGAGTGAATGCTGTATTACTGCCATCTTAAAGCAACAAATATTTGTTTTTAGAGCAGTATGTACATCTCAATGTACAAAGACTGAGCTCAGAATTTGCTAAGAAGCCTCAGGTCCCAGTAAGCATTCACTTGAATGTTAAGTCTTGTAATCTAGCTGTTACTCACAACCTTCCTGAGCCATTTTGTGCCTGGGATTATCCATCCATTTTAGAGCAGAAGCCTTTCCGCAGAAGTTCCCCCTCAGCCTCACTGGGACGTTCTTGCACGTATTCCCACTGCTTCCAACTGAAATCATTCTCAGAAATTCTGCCTGACACTTGCATTTTCCCTTCCCTGAACCTTGTCACCTGCAAGATTGACAGTTATTTAAATACCTGTGTCTCTATTCCACCTGTGTCAGGAGCAGCCTCGTCTCAGGGGTTTTTCTTAGTGTTCTCCAGGCGGTTCAGTCTGCCACCGCACCATGAGCTTTGCCTGGACATGGGGTGTCTTAGCCCACTCCCAAGGAGCAGCCAGCACATTATTGCAATATGCAGCTGGAAAGTTAGGACCCAGCACTTGGCTGACCCAGTGTTCAGCCCAGCTTCTTGATGAACAAACGCGTGTAAAATCAGTGAGTACAGGAGAGTAACAACAGAGCAGCACTGGTATTAACTTTTTTTTTTTTGGTAACTATTTTAACCGAGGGGGCATCAAAGAGTGAAGTCTGCTCTTTGCACGTGAAGACACTAAAACACCTCTCTCTTCCAGCTCTGCCTATAAATTACTTTCACCACTGTCTCCACACAGTGCGCATTTGTATTTACATGTTTCTGTATTTACTGTAAACAGAGCTGCGCAGCCAGTTTAATTGACCTCAGTATAGTTCTGTAAAGACTAGAAGTAGTTGCTAAGTTTAATTCTCCAGTGACTGCTGTTACTATCCTTTGTTACAGGGTATCTGGTATCACATTTAACTTGATATTGCCAACAGCTGTGTGTTAAGCAGCCAATAGATATATATTTGTGTGTGATTTTTGCCATCTGGAAGTTGCTCTTGCAACTGAGTGAATGGATGGAAAGAGGGGAAAAAACTAGGACAATGGAAAACAGAAACACATAACAAAGAATTAGCAAAAGCAGAGCATTCGTAGCTCGCACAGTCACTGCTGTGTGTCAGGGGCTCCAGGCTCACAAGTCTGTACGTTAAGCAGAAGTATTCAGCCACTGTAAAGCACAGTCAATTCCTGAAATTCAATTCAGCAACACCTGCTTCAACATGACAATATCTTGGAAGGAGAAAGTGCACAAGTGCTTACGCAGCAGAAGCACCTCAACAGCTTCACTGATATCATTCTGTATACATGGCATGGGCTCCCAGGTGCACAGCAGGGCGAGAGGTCCCAGCTCTTACACCACAGGGGTTAAACTGCAAGCGAACTGAAAACATGTGAACAAGAAAGTAGGTAGGAAGGGAAACAAATGTTGGAGCTTGCTATTAAAAAAAAAGGTGCATAGCATACAGCCTAGCTAATCTGAAACAGATGGTTGGAATTTTGCCTGGGAAGCTCAGGGATTAGGCCTCCAAGAGCACCTGAGAAGAAGAAGAAGAAAAAAAAAAAAAAAGTAGGTGTGTGTTGCTGAATAGGAGTTCACTAGAGTGGCCTGAACAGGGCATGAAACAAAAGCAGCTTCACTTCTCAACTGTGAGATGATTGGAGTGCAGGGCTTTGAGAAAACTCATCAAATTTAAAAAAAAAAAAAAAAAAAAAAAAAGGCAAGCTCAATTTTATGGGTCGTTCCCAACCTTTCCTTATAAATACAAAGCACAGTACAATCTAAGATCAGAATTGTCAAACCGTGGCTCACAGTTTTGAGTAAAACCCAATTGCTGCACACACTGCATGGAGCAATGCACGAGGTGTCTGTTGTATTTGCATTCACTTCAGAGCTGAGCTGTAAACAGACAGCTAACAGTGACCAAGTGGTGACCCATCCAGTAAAGAACCATCTCACCCACTTCACACCCCCACACAAACAGCCCCAGCCAGTCTGATACGGATAAACAATATAAGGAACCCTACAAGGCAGGCTTGCTTGGCCAGGCTAGTTTAAGGAATAAAGCAGAAAAGTATTTTTACTACAATTACTTCCTAAGCATCTGTTTCGGAAGGCAGTCCCAGTGGATTTTTGTAACTGTTATGCAGCAGCTTCATCCTGCATCTGTACCTGAAATCTGTGGAGTCTGTGCGTGCCCTGGAGAGTTCTCTCCATCCTCAAAAGCAATTCAAAAAAGTAAATGAAACGATTATGTGTACACATGTATTTGTGTGCTTATGCCTGTATGGGATTCAATAGAAAAGTTTATTTTGCCTGCCTCATACAAAGCACCGTTTCTTTTACTATTTCTTTTTTCAGAACCTCTTCAAAAGGAAGTGCAGAGCATGGCATTTCTAGAAGTCGTATCAAAACTCCGCAGCCATGAGAACAAAACTGTTGCCCAGCAGGCCTCGCTAACAGAGCAGAGACTCGCTGTAGAAAGCTGAGGAAGGTCTCGTTTCCAGCGCATCCCGTCACAGAATCACCTTTGTCCTCCGTCCTGCTGCCGCTCCCACTCTGTTTTCCACTGTATCACTTGTGCATGCGTGTAATGTTCCCACACAAATCGATGAACTGCTGTAGGTACCCATCCAAAAAGGTTTCTACAAATTCATAGGTGGTGTTAACATGAACCTGCCTCCACCCGTAACTGTTCTACTTGTATTCTTGTTGCTTGGGCCACGTAGTAGAATGTGCATGTTGTAGTCCTATGATGATGTAGAAGTGGTACTACACAATGTTCCTCACGCCCCTTAACTGCGTAACGATGTACTACTAAACTAGGGACAATACAAGAGGCAGCAAGTCCAGGCTCGTGTGCTGGCTGTAGGATTAAGAAGTAAATCTAGCTCCATTTTTGGTGCTTTGGAGATTCAGGTTTGAATGCAATGTGCTGCTGCTCATTCACTGGTCTTGCCTATTAATGTCAAACTCGTGGTACCTAGAGGTAACAAATAAAAATTTCAGTGCTCTCACTTTATCCTGTGGTTTGTCCTTTTTTGGAACCGCACGCAGAAGTTGCGACTGCACCACCACGCACTGCTGAGGAGCCTTTTTCGTTCCTGGCTCTGGCCCCGACGCAATCACTGCCTTTCAGTTGAGCAAATACAAAAGGAAAATTCCAACCACTGTCACTACATATGCTCACACAGAGGCACTGTGTGGTTCAACAATCATGTGTTTAACAGGGATACACTGTGCAATCCTTATCCCATAAAGCCATGAGGGTAGTGAGTGCACTTGGGCTTGCTTGGCATCGGGTTTTTGTTTGTTGGGGGTTTTTTTCTAGATGGATTTGTAAAGGCATTATCTTGCAGCAACTTCTCAACAGCACACCATCAACTGAGAAATGCAGATACAAGAATCTTTCTGTTTCTCCTTTCCTAGGTAAAGGAGTTGGGAAATTGCCAGTTTAAGCATCTTATCTCACAGCTGCTCTTTTGTAGGTTTGTAACGTGCCAGTAAGCAAGCCAGCAGACAACTTTTTGGCAAAACAGGGAGCAGTTGGGATAGCAGCTTCCAGCAAGCCAGCACATGTTATTTTTGACTGTGTGATACACTATTGTGTAGCTTGATCAAGCCCACAATGCACAAAGATCAGAAGACCTGGAACAATTTTTCAAGTGAATTCAGCACTCACAGAGCTGACGTGCCAGCCTCAGAAGTTTCTGGCTCCTTTTTTATCAGCAGAGGCAACAAACCAAACCCAGAGGCCAAGCACCCATGTGATCTCATGCCATGCGGCTGCGAAAACACAGCTTTTGACCTTCCCAAATTCCCTTCCCAGCTCCATGAAATCACTGGCTATCCCACGGACACTGTGCTGGGAAGATTCCAGCCATCGACAGGAAAGGGATTATGCACACAAGCTGGGTATGAACAGAAACTTGCCTCAAAGAGTCAGTTGAAGCTCCAAGGCTGTACCAAAACCCAGCAGATGCTGCAGGAGCATTCACGCAGAAGAGATTCCATGTCCATTTAATCCAGTGCCAGAAACACACACAAAAAGCCTCACATACTAAACTCTACCAAAGCCTCTTACTGCAAAAAAAATTCAGAAGACATTTTCTAGTAATAGTGCAATAAAAGCTGTGAACACAGACCAGGACCCCGTGACATCAGGCTCCGAATAACACAGAACCATGTTTACAATCACAGTTCATAGTGGACTCACGCGAGCCCAAGTTTTCTCAGGCATGGAAATCATAGAATCATAGAATCACAGAATGACCCGGGTTGGAAGGGACCTCAAGGATCATGTAGCTCCAACCCCCCTGCCTGGCAGGGCCACCAAACATACACATTTACTAGATCAGGTTGCCCAGGGCCCCGTCCAACCTGGCCTTGAACACCTCCAAGGACGGGGCATCCACAACCTCCCTGGGCAGCCTGTTCCAGGGCCTAACCACTCTCCTAGTAAAGAACTTCCCCCTAACATCCAACCTAAATCTTCCCTCCTTCAACTTGTATCCATTTCCCCTAGTCCTGCTATTGTCGGCCCTTTCAAAGAGTTTACTCCCCTCCTGGGTGTAGATTCCCTTCAGGTATTGAAAGGCTGCAATGAGGTCACCCCGCAGCCTTCTCTTCCCCAGGCTGAACAAGCCTTTCCATCGATTTAGAAATCCCAAAAGACATCTGAAAGACCAGTTATCAATGACTTACCTGGTTCTAGAGAGAGACTGTTCCTTTTGACGTGGGTATAAACTGCAAGAGCTTACACGAGCTGATGGCAATCAACAAAGTTGTGACACCAACAAAATTCCCATTCACCTGGTTGTCTAACTGGGCCTCAGGTTACGCATTAACCATATCCATATCACCAGAGTTTTATTAGGGATACCACCGGCACAGCAAGCACAAAGGCCAACACTGATACCCTTCTACTTTCAGACGGTTTCCCCAGATGGAGTATCAAATGGCTTACAGTTCTAGATAAAATCTGTGCTAAGCCTACACGCAAAGGAAAAGCCTCCATAAGGGCAGAGATGGGTGTGTGTTGCAGTAGGAGATAATTGAAGGGACTGTATCTACCCACACAAATATTGGGCTGTTCTGAGGCATGCTGCAGCCTGCAGGTTATTTCTGTGTAGTTGGTAAATCATTTATCCTCTGAGCTTCTTTTAATAAGAGAAATGGGATCTAAGGACATTACTGTCATGTGCATTTTGCTACTTAATTGACTGAAGTCAACTGAAATGAAATTGCTGACAATACTTCTGATCAGATGTTTAGGAGACAGATTACATCTAAGCAAAGTTCGGCAGCTGCTGCTCAGAGTATTTTCATGATGGTCACGCCAGACATTGGGCCTTTTCCTGTCTACTGCTGCAGCCAACCGAGCTCAAACGACCCCTGCTGCCACACTCCACAGGGCAGGCGGCACCTCCCTGGTATTTTACATTCGGCTGCATCTGTGTGGCTTTTGCAAGACCTCCATCAGCCAGGAGGATTAAAAGCACACACACGTTTTTACATTCCAGTGTGGAAATAAAAGGAAAAGTTTCATTTTGGGTAAAGCACACACCCCAAAAACATGAACTTGGATCCAGAGGACTTATTGGTCCAGTGAGACCACAAAACCCAGAAGAGGTCATTTGTGTCAGAAGTCCTAGAAATGGTAACCAGCCACAGCTTCCAGAAACAGCATGCCAGGCTGTTAAGAGTTTGACAGAATGCAGGTCACCAGTCCTAGTCTTCCCATCATGAAAATGGCTTATCCAAGTGTGTCACATCTATCGTGTGTTACAAAGATTTTAGTCAATGCCCTCAACTTTGCTTCTTTTTGGTCAACTTTTGTTCCTCCCTCCCTAGGCAAGGCCCCCACATTTGCATTCTCATTTTGCCAAGTCATTTCCGCATCTTCAGATAAATGTATATGCCTGAAATATGCAAAAGGCATCGGGCTTCAATCTGGATAGAGAGACACGCTTTTAAATCAGTCATGGTGGTGTTTTGTAGACAAAACTGTAGGCTTGAGATATTGAATTGAATTGGCTTGCTCTACAGTCTTTGAAATACTAAAAAACTGGGCTCCTTCCTCCTCCGGCTAAACAAGCACAAGACATCATCACCCATTCTCACCTGCACAAGAATATAAGCCAGCTCTCACTGCTTCTGTTTAAGGACATGCTGCACTTAGAAAAGTGAAATTCCCACCTCCCTTTGCAAAAAGTTTAATCAAGTAATGAAAAACCCGCTTTGTGCTGCTCCCTGCAAAGCAGCGACTTCTGCACAGTCCAGGGCCACTGAAACGGTCGTGGAGAGAGCTCCAGCAGCCACCGCAGTCCAAGGAACACCACTGACCTGTCGGAAGGAAGCAGAGCACGGTCATTAGCCAGAGACTTCAACAGCAGTTGACAGATGTGGGATCTCCTCCCATGGGGATGTGTTCTTCATGTATTGGCTTATTCATTTACGGGCAGCCGCTGATGACATGATAATGTGTTTTGTGACTTAATTATAACACAATATTCTACACTGTCTTTGATAGACTTTGAGATTTATTTCCCCTGTTAGCTTGGGGGATGGCAGGCAGGGGGTCTTCTCCTGGAGGAATTTCACATGAACATATCTTTGTGTTGTCAATGTTAAGTGCTACATCAAGAGTACACATTCACAACGCCATATTTCACGCAATTTTATTTATAAAATTGTAATTATCTAACAAATTGCATATAAAATGATTTACTTCAAGTAAATACAGAATACTGCACAACTATTAAAACTATTGTATTGTCCATCATAAGTGTATTAAAACATTCCTAAAAAATGCCTCTATTAAAAAACAAAAAACCCAAGAACACAAGTAGCATGATCAAGACCACTTCCAATAGCTTAAAATGAATTCCCAGGAAGTTGCATTCACTTCCTGAGTAGACTCCAGTTACATCCATTGAGATCAGCATGTGATACAATACCACAGTCTAACGCTAAAGATGACAAGTGATACATTATGCACCTGATCTATGCTTTTCTCCTAGACTGCAGGTAACCAGTCTGAAATCAGAAAACTAAAGCTCAAGTCAAACTCTACTGGGCATGCAGTTCTGTTATAACAATACTTTCAATAAGTGTAGTTGGCTTTTACAATCAATTTTACAACTGATAAAAAAAAAAAGGAACACAAGAGAATACATTCGTATAAAAAGGAATGATACACAAAGGGTAAATATCGACACCTTGTCATACACCCCAGCATGAACCAGAGAGAGATTCAGTTGGAGATAATCTGGAATTCACGACATATCAGAGACAGGGCTGGGTCACAAAACCCAAATCCCAGTCTCCCCAGAGCTCCAGGTAGTATCAAGTCCATCTCTACTATGTACACAGTGTGAAGATGAACACACATACAGATGGAGATCTTTATTAACACATTTATATTGCCAGAACACAGACAGCTACCAGTGCTGCCTGCTGCACACTAGTAGTCACAACACTGATTTTTATACTGGATGGTAAGAGAGGCAGATTTTTTTTTCCCCCCCTTCAAGTGGCAAAATTTGGTAGCTAATGGATCCAACAGGGTAGTTTTAGTTTATTTGCTTTAGGCAGTTTCATGACCAATTACAGGTATCTGAAAAAGCTTCAGAGAGAAAACAAAAACAGGAGGGAAGAACTGGAACCCTCAGCGCTGCTCGACACCTGTCGAGATCTAATCTCCTTCCTGGGTATTTGGCTGGACTGCCATTTCAATGCACCCAAAAGGCACACACAGCAAGAAAGGAAACAATCAAAAATTCATACAAGAGTTTCTCTTGTCACCAACACTGTTAATAAGAATCAGTTTTACCAAGGGCACCTCTGAAGTAGTAAAAACACTGCTTAACATCCAGGGCAGTTTTTACAGCACCACGTTTAGTCCTGCCCCAAGTGATGGCAGCCTCCTGGGACCTCCCACCCTCCGCTCTACAGTCCAGTGCTGTTCTAATGCCAAGTAGCAAAGCAAAAGGCATGGGAGGTCCTGCAACTACCCAGAGCCCGAAGGCAGGCCAGGGCTGACCTCCCCCGCTGCCTGCCGCCTGCCCGCTGGGTAGACACGGGATGGCAGCCGATCCTGCAACTACCCAGAGCCCGAAGGCGGGCCAGGGCTGACCTCCCCCGCCGCCTGCCGCCCGCCCGCTGGGTAGACACGGGATGGCAGCCGGTGAAAGCACTCCCGCATCACCTCCCAGGCCAGGGAAAGCCTGAACCACCCCTCTGTTTTCATCAGCAAACTCTCTGGACACCTTTCGTATCTCTAATAACACATTTAGGGTGAAAAGCAGTCATGTGCAAGAATCACTTAATCTGCATGCTACTATTTACATTTCAAACACTATTTACACACCAGAACTGCAATTAGCATCTCTCCCAAAGGGGAGAGAGGGCAGCTTTCAGGACAGAATACACTTGAGCAAGCATCTCCACAGCTTCCAACTCTAAGGGGCACAATCTAAATTATGGATTTTGAAGCAAAGAGATCGTACTGCTATTGAAACTGATACGAAGAGATAAATCAAACATTTGTCCATTAAGCTATTATTATAAAAACAAACAAAAAAGAGAGAGCGCGAGCTCAAGCAACAGAAAGGCCTGTGAATACAGACAGTATTTAAAAATCAGAGGAACAAGGACTGTGATGCCCTTTGGCAAGGCTCAGTGGGGAATTTGGAAATGACTTTAAAGCCAAAGCTACTGCTGGAGCTACCAGACCTCTCATTAGAAATGCCACCATCTCATACAAATCATCCAGCAAACAGAGCTGTTTCACACTCCACAAGGGCCATAAGCCTGACAACAAATTTCTGAACAACCACTGCACATCAAAGATAATTGGGGACCACTGAACTCGCATCTACCCCACCACCACACCAGGCAGGTTAGAAATTGCCAAGAAGTCATACCGCCTACTATATCTTATTGCTTTAGAAAATGAGCCCATGCAGACAGCAGTTGTGCTCTAGTTGCAGCTCACCTGAAGTTTTCACAAAGTTTTCTGGAAGAAAGCTTGCTTGCATTTGGCAGGCTCTGACAGTAACAGATTGATTTCCAAGGCCTCCCACAAGCTTTCCAAACAGGACCCCTAAGCTGCTGAGAAGCTGTTGATAGGGCATTTCTAGGACATCTTACCACCCATTCTGTAGACAAAAAATGCAGGAATTAAATGTGCAATATAGACAGCTAATCCTGAACATTCAGTACGCATCCAACAAACAACTGCAAAAATGAGGAAAATAAGAGCATCTCTTGTGAGCAGGGAAGGGGGGAGGATCAGCATCTGCAGCAATAAAGACAAGCTCTAGAAAAATAAGTTATTTAGTGGTTTTTGTAAGAACAGTCAGTCATTCTGGGACTCAGCTGAAGTGTTGCATGTTTGTGTGTACATGTGCAAGTAGTGAGAACAAGGTGTGCTCACCTCAGAGCATCTACCTTCCTATCAGTCTGACAGTGCCAACAGCATGTCCAGCAGACTGGAACTCAGAGAACAGCGTGACAAGACAGAAGGCCAATACAGTACAACTGCAGAAATTCAAGTAGAAGAATTAAGTTGTCTTCAGAAGCCCACAGCAGCAACAGCAGGATCAGCGGCAACAAGGAATGTTCCTGTAACATAGGCTTTTCTGCTTTTTCACCAAACCAAAGCACTGGGTCACAATCAAGGCTCTTGAGCAGAGGGGTTACTTCCTCAACCACACTTCCCTGATTTCTCCCTGCACCATTTTGTCTCATGCAGCAACACTGGTGCTGATGATCTGCCTGTCCTGCTGCTATCAGGCAAAACAGTGTGCCCCTTCGGGGGGAAACAAACAGCAGTAACTCCTCAAGTTGAGGAGTGGCTAAGAAAAACATAACGCTGTGGTGAGGTGGAACCAACTCTATTAAGGACAGTGAATTATCATTACTTTCAAAGGCTTTAAAAAAAAATTTACTCTGAGTCATGGCTGGCCTTTAACAGCAGACACCAAAGGATATGGAGGCTGCCTGACTGAGAGCCAGTAGGTGGGAGTGAACCAGGAGAGGATGAGGTAATGCTCAAAGACAGGACAACAGGACTGTCTGTGGCATCTGTGGAACACCGGTGTGCCTACCAGCCTTCAGAGGAGAAAAAAACCACAGCCAACTAAAGCACAGAAACACAAAATGTGCAAGGGTATGTATACTCACATGTTGAAGAGTCGTAGGATCAGAAAGGACCTTAATAGGTCATCAGACCAGCCTTCTATCCATCCCCAAGAACAAGGAAGCTTTAAAAGCAATGCAGTCATCTTTTCTACTCCACGTACTTCATTTTAGGAAACTCATCTCAAAAAGATGCTAAGCACTTAACAAAGAGGTGCTGCACACCCTTTGCCACTGTCTGACCAAAGCAGGCGCCAGGAGCTCCCAGCTTTCAGGACTGGTTCCGCAGATACTGAGAAGGGTCATACAACAAGCTAAATTTATACAAAGTGCAATAAAACTACCCAAGCCATGGTCAGGTTTGTAAGTTCACTGTTATTAGTGAAGAAGAACAAATCAAAAACTCTAAGCTGGATGGAGCCTGAAGTAATTCTTCTTCCACTATTTGTGCTTTATTCCAATTTCTGCTCTCTTTTGTCCAATTCAAAAGAGTCTGTCTTGGCTGATCGTAATACACGCTTCTATTTTAAAACTTTTATTCCATTGCTTCAAGAAAACTTTTTGTTGCATTTAGAGCAACAAAAGGAGACACATCTCCATAGCAAGGATTTTTTTCACTGGAGGTAAGCATTTACTCTGGCAAAAGCTGTTCTCTCCAACTCCCAAGAAAATGGGATATGATCTTTCCATAATCACATGCATTTACCAATAAATAAGTTTGGATTAGACTGTATTAAAACATATGCACAGATTTAAAGCACTGGAGTGTCACAGATTCTTACTCCACAGCTCATGCAAGTGAAAAGAATTAAAACAAACAACAACAAAAAAAAAACCAAAACCAAAGCCTCAGCTAGGAACAGACCAAGGAGTCACCTCAAAAGAAGTTTTGAACAAGTATATCAAAGCACTAATATTAGTGAGATCCCTAAATACATTAGGTTACACTAAATTCCAGCGAAACAAAAGATTTAGCCATATCAGATACATATGTTTTGGTTTTTTTAAGTTAATATATAATTAATTCTTTGAATAATATTACCCACTTGGACCCAACATCCACACTGCTTTCATACATTTATACAGTTATATCCCATCCTTGCCTTAAGAGACTGATGTCTTAAGGTATGGCAGCAACCAAAGGCTCTACAACCCTTGTTTGTTGAATATAAAACTCCTTTCCCTTCATACAAGGGTGAAGAAAGGAAGAAAGATGTTCATAAAATTAGGCAATTCTCCCTGTGAGTTTCCTGATTCCAACCTCAAAGTACTACAGGGAGATGGCTGGAAGCTTGAGTAAAAAAACAAAATAATTTCCCTTGTTTTAAAAATGGTTTCTTTTACTGTACATTAGATGCATAGAAAGTTGCTTCCTGCTTGATGGGTTTAGGCCTGTAGCTACGTTTAGCTGTGAAAACAAGATCATTCCTTTACAGAGTGGTGAGGGGAGAGACCATCTCAGGAATATCTGGCAGCTATCGAAGAGCTCATGACACGAAGAATAAACAGCATATCCACAGACTACAACGATGCAACTCTGTCCGACTGAATACACCAATTTTAAAAAAGTGTCCACTTGTTACTCAGGATCAAGAATACAGTAGAGATTCACGGCTCAACAGTTTTTATACTGGTGGTTTAAAACAAAAATAATTGTTAGTGAGCAGCAGATTTTCAATAGCCCACTCTTCTCTCCCCCACCCCAAAGAAACACGAGTTCACCGCAATATCAGGAACTGAAACTTGAGATTACTTGGGAGAGAAGGCTTCCCTGTCACCCATGTCCATATACTTGGTGTCGGAGCGACACACGGGAGGTTTCAGAGGGTTTCGGTTGTCCAGTGTCTTGTTGTGGTTACTTCAGCAGTTTTACCAGCTGGCTCTGACAGCCTCAATGTCACTAACCAAATTCTGGGCTAAGCATATCCCAAATATCTGGAAGAGACAACAATTTATTCATTTGGAGCATCGGACAACTCTTTTCATATAGGCAAACTCCTTAAGTTATACAGAAATTTGATATGAAAACAAAAAACAGCAAGTTAGAAATCAAATTAAGTGTTGGAAGAAGGAAGAATATCGACAAATTCCTGTAACCCCAGTATTTTTGTAGTGCCACTATAAAAATAGTTCCAGGACATTGAACAGTTCTAGACTTGCTTCATGAAAGCAATTGTAAAGGCTTTTTGCTGTTCCTTTAAGGGCCATCAGAAGTAGCAGGTCTGTACAGGCTTAAAAATCTCTACCTCATCCTCATCTAACACAGAGTGTTAGTTTTGACCTGCAGACAGTTGAAAAGAAAAAAATGTATCCCCTACAGATAAAAATTAAATACTCCTTAACACAAAGAAAGCATCATGCATTTAACTCCCCCCAGTAAAACCAATTGGACATTATATTTCTAAATGCAACCAACACTGTGTTTCCAGTTCTCATACAGTTCCTCCCTCATATATTTATCTGTTGTTCTTCGTGTAACTCGTTCCAGGGAATGTGAAGTTTACCTGCAGTAATGCTATCCCAATGAATATACCGGCAACTATGGTTAGATTGTCCTGCAACCATTTCTCAAACTGAGGGACACAGCCTTTAGTGTAGATAACAATCTGCTGATCAACTTCCTGCCAAGGAGAAGAGGGAAGAAAACAGATCATTACATTCAACTATCCCATCAGTAGAATAACCTGCTCTTGGCAAGAGGGATTCAGATCCTTAAGATACCACATTTAAAAAAAAAAAAAGAAAAGAAAAAAAGCTTACTGGTTTTTGCCTTGCATCGTAGCCACACTGAGTATTAATAACATCTTCCTAGGAGAGAGAGAGACAGAAGAGAGGCAATCAGCAAAGCGTCTCCCAAACACCCTCTCTCAGCTCCCCAGAGTTGGTCCTGTGTGTAATAAGACAATCACCCTAACTTTGGTTACCATATTGCTTTTTAAAAACCCCTTCCTCTTCCATTCAGTGCAGTTATTTATTTGCAACAAACAAAAGCACATGGTCAAAAAAATACATCCAACTCTCAGGACAGCAAGCTAGGAAAACCAGCCCTCTACCTGGGTGAACTCCACGTTCCAGATGCAAGCATTCAGAAGTCAAGGAGATGGGATTAGGGAACATCTATTTTAAGTAAAAGAGCGTTCTGCCAAAAAGGTTTTGTCTGTACTGAAAAATATGCCAGGACTACTGGTAACTTTTTCAAGGTTCAGTCTGTGCAGCGTGAAGAGGTGAGAAGAGGCAGTTCTGCTGCAGAAGCTGCAAGTTCTTACCAAGGATGTCTGTAGAAATACATACAGTTCCTTGTTCCTTTCCGAAAACTAGGAAGGAAAAATAAAAGATGGGGTAATGTGTTCTCGTTGCCTGCTCTTTCTTACAGGACCTTGATACCAATGGGAAAGGAGCGGGTTTTTTCCTACTGCCTCTGCTTTAGTATTCCCACAGTACAGATAAAATAGGCTATGGCAGACTTTTCCTATTGAACAACTGCTACCCATTGGAAGCTCATGCTGCATTTACTCTGTACACAGAGTTATTTTGAGGCAATAAAATGAAGCAACTACTTTTAGTGTCAGCCACAATGGCAGCAAAATATTAAGTTACTGGCTCATATAATAACAGCGAGCAGAAGACGGAACTACTCAAGGAAGTGAGAAAATCAGCCAGTCTTAGCTAGGTGTACTGAACAACACAATTTAATCAAATAGTGGGAAGTGAGAAAGGCAGCCAGCAGAGAAATAGATTTTAAATAGCAACCATACAGAAAAAGATATCTCCTCCTAGCAGCAGTTAAAGCTCCTTTAAGTGCTTCCTCACTTTGCACAAGTACATCAACAGGTAGCATCCAGTCAGTTGCCCAAACTGGATTCGTCAATGGACCCTTAAGATTTGAACAGTTTGTATCTTTTAATGATACCAAAGCTTCTGTTCCAGGATCTAAAATATAAGTGCCATGCACCTCAAGGCTGTAAAAGTAGATAAGATTCCAGAGGGATTTTAAGCTTTCTTCTTTGTACTGAATGCCTACTTGCTTTATCATCAGTGTCTTCTGCCTTTAGCCTTGGAATTTGTTAACCCAAAGAAAGCATGAAGAAAGAAATGGAAATAAACTAACTTTTCTAGGCCTTGCCCATCCAGGAATATGGAACATTTCAACCTGCTAACCTGTAGCAAACTGAACTCTAGAAGTCCAAGTTCATTTCAAAGGAGAATTATTTTGGCTTACTTTAAAGTTACCACTTCCTGATTCAAGCTAAACTAAAAGCTAAACCAAAAATCCTGTTCAATAAAGCATCCACATAACTTTTTGCATCAGTCTAACACTGCATCCTAATTCCAGAAAGGACAAATTCGGTTTCCCACAGGATAAACAGTGTTTATCACTGCAACTGAACCAGCCACAACTTGGTTACAATTATATCCATTATGTGCATGACTTCTAATATTTTTAGAAATATTATTAATCTTTATTTTAAAGGCAATTAAGCATGTTGCTTCCCTACAACGAGTAAGAAAGAGGCATCTTTAAATTTCTGGTTGCCGCATCACCCTCTAAGATACTGCATAGCCATATAGACACAGAGAGGCAACTTGAGCATGGATTATGTATTTATAGGATTACCTTGTACTGCTGGCACTGGTTTGGTTTTATAACAACTATATATTTAAAACTGGGTTGTGATGACCTCTCTGTGTGGGTGGGCAAATAAGCAAACTGTAGGGGGAATCCTAAGCATAATGTAACGCTTGAGCCTAACCTACTTTCCATTTTGTTTTAATATTTCATTAAAACATTTTCAGTTATGTTTGTGAGAAAGATTCAAACTACTGTGAAGACATGTTCACTGCAGAGGAACCAGAATGCAGCTTGTGTGAGTGGCAGTGCCTTATCAGGAGCGTCAGGGATAGCAGCAGTAGCGCCTGGATGCTGGGACCAACAACTGCATTGCATTAGCAAGGCAGCAAGCACCTGAGGTGCCTGTTGGCAACTTGCCTGACCTTAGTGCTACAGACTCATAGATTCAAGGACTATAAGTCGACTCCAGGTGGAGAAAAAGCCACAGCTGAACTACCAGATAATACAAGCACTCACAGGCTGCTTCTTTTAAGGTATATGAAAGTCAAACGTATGCAGTGTTAGCCACAAGTTTCCATGCACACACCCATCCTTACTCCAAGCCTTTCACTGTCAGTGAACTGCTTCCCTACGCTTTTACCCTTCATTCTTGATCATGCCCATGCTAGTAATGCATGGTCCAACATTTCCTGCTCAATGATCCAGAACTACAACTATTTTAAAAGACATGAACATTTACCAAAAAGCTGTTCCCTCAAACAATTTCTGACCTTTCAAGTCTGATCTCAGGTGACTGTAGGACAAGGATTAATTTTAAAGGGAAGAAAGAGCATGTAAAGATGTCCATACCCGACCCAAGGTTCTAATGCAAACATATGTCAGTTCTTCTGGGCACTGTCATTCATTACCATACCTAGCACAAGCTGGGTCAAACTAGCTGCAGCCTCAGGACACTGCATTAATTAATGAGTAAACCTGCTTTAGGGCATCTGATCTTAGAGCTGCTGTTCTTTAAGGCAGCAAATTATATATCCTGATGATATTCAACTGAAAGCTCATGTCCTTTAACTCATTAAGGGCTTCTGCTTTTTATACTTGCTCGAAGTAATACGTATGTTCAGCCAAGCCCATCGTTCTCTTATTCTAATGAAAAGCAGCAAACAGCATACAATGAAAACTTAAGTTAGCTCAGGATTTTTGCTGACTGCAGAAAAGTCAGTGGTTAAGCTGAGCTGCAAGTACAAAAAAAAAAAATCAGGCTGGTGAGAAGGTAATAATCATTCGTGACTTCCAGGGGAAAACAAAAAAAAAAATCTTAGCATGATTTAGAATTGGAAAAGCAGACCCATCCAACCCTCTTGACTGTCACTTACCGCAGGGTCTTTAGTGCAGCAAGAGAATGGCACACCACAGCGCTCTCGACTTGCGTTGGAATCTGTGCAATTGAAGTAAATATTAAGGTTCCAGTCATCAGCTCCAAAAGCTCCACAGCACTGCCACTAGAACAAAGATTTGCAGAACAAACAAATCTCAGCATTAGTAACATGCAACACCACTGCCAGTTTCTCCTCTGGCTTTCTAAACAATATCTGTGATTCCCTCTGGTTTCATTGAAGCTAGCTTGTGTTTTGTTGGTTGGTTTGTTGTTTTTTTTTTTTTTTTAAGACCATCCCAAACCTGTAAGTTCTAAAATTGTCATGTAATTAAACTTATGTTCATACTCTGCAATGCTGCTCTCTGGAGAGAAACACATGGAGCGAGCTGATGAGGCTACGTAACAACAAAAGAGTTGCCCAGGCCTACAAGCTCAGGCCACAGGGATAGTAGAGCCAAGAGTACAATATTCTGTCCAGTTTAATGTGCCCTAGGCTCTCAACAAAACTAACCAGCTCTGAGGGCTACACTGCTATAGCTACTCCTTTTACCAGTTTGGGTTAAATCTTTGCCTGCGTGTACATCAGACAGTACGAACACATTCTTTCCTGAGCATCATACATTGCACAAATAACATCTTTACTGAAGGCAAGCAGAATCCTTCAAAAAGGAAATATGCCCAATGGCAGGCTTCATCCCTGGCAAAACACGCTGAATACACAAAGAATTGGTAAAACTTGCAGAACATATGAAGAACGGACTGAAGATCAGTGAAGCACTGATGGTTTACAGCATTTAAGGAGCTAGCCCAATAAACCCATCTATGTCAACTTAAAAATTTTTTAAAACCCCAAACAAACCACATTTTTGAAAGTGTTGGAATGGCAATTCTCTCTTTCTAGATCTAGCACAGTTCCTTCTGCACTACCTGAACGTGTTGTCTTCAAGCATTAACTCTACTAGCTGAAAAAGTAGCTTGTTCTCCAGACTCATGCCGTCCCTGATTTATCTGCTGAGATTGCTAATCCAGTTAGGAGAGCAAGTTTTATGTAGTGCTTGCAAAACTGGACTGGGGCCTTTTGGTTGCATGCAAGTGGGCCATTGCCTTCAGAATGTAACCTTTCCCCAACTGGACAAGATTCAAACCAGTGCAAGGATCCACATCCTGTAACTTGTCATTTTTCCCCCCAAGGCATATAGAAGCAAATCAAACATTGAATTAAATTACTTTAATTGCAGAATGTGCAAAATGTCCAAAAATTAGTAAACATTATTTCAACCAACACTTAACCACGTTAGCTGCACAGGGCCAAATTCAAAGAGAAGTTCATCAACACAGGCCAGAATTGAGTACTGGAGCAAGAAGGTACTGGCAAAATAACTTGTGGGCAAAAGTCAGTGCAAGACTCCTTTACACACACTGATAAATTACAGAGCTTAACCCGGACAAGCATGTGCATCTCTGGCTTCACCCTTCCCGCCAAACTGCAGGAGTAGCATCATTTAGCGACTTCCTACCAGAACTTTATAAGTTGCCCACTTCGTTAGGCTAATTGCATTAAGTCTACTTAAAAAAAAAAAAACCCAAAACACAAACCACCACAACATTGTAGTTTCAGACCGCCTAAACATCTCTGCCACTCTGCAGTGTGGTGCAGGACCTCTAACATTGCTAAAACTATACCAACATTAATCCCAAAATCAAATTAAGCTTAGAAAAGGATTATTTTCTTTAAACAGATATGACAACTCCTACAATAAAATATTTTGAACACCCCTTCCCCTCAAGAACCCTAAAATATCTTCCTACACATCTAGAACTAAACCCAGATGCTGATGGTTAACTTGTAGATTTGACACACTGTCTCTAAGTCTTTAACAATAAGCCCCCCCCAACTCTCCACCTTATTTTGCTCAGTCATACATCAACAAATAAGCCACTTTTCAAGGTGCCATGTGTTTGCAGAAGTTCTGTAAAGAGAAATACACACATATATTCAAAAGTAATTATGCTAGAATATTTGTTGTTCCTTGAAGAAACTCAAACAGACAGGAAATAACAAAGAGAGTAGGTATTTCTTTAAAGTAAGCTTTACAAAAAAATAAACATCATCCAACTTACATATTCCTGGGTGAAGTCTATGAGGTTTTGCAAATCAATGTCATCTCGATATGCTCTGATGTTGTTGTTTATAAAGAAATACAGCTGGTCCTTTATCCAATCTTTGAAAACAAATGCTAGAACACCAGCAGTGAGTTCCAGGAAGAAAATAATCCCAAGAAACACAGAAAACTATGAATAAAAACAAAAAGGTTAAAATTATTTTGCTTCATGACCAAAAACTTAATATTTCAAGGCTCAAAATTATGTCCAGTGTTAGGGCTTTACCTGTTTCAGTGCAAGGTCAAGCTATTCCAGCACACAGGAAATTTTAAGTTAAAAATACACCATTTTTAATCAGGGTTGTAGTACAGGAACCTTAATTCTATTCTAACAAACAATACAAATGCTAATAAATTCAAACTTTGGACATTTCGCTGGAATTTTCAAAGAGGTCCAAGAGAATTAACTGTAAATTTCAACAGAGATGGCTACTCACCATCTCTAAGGCCCTCTGAAAACACATATTAAATTTCTATCTAGGCACTCACTTTTTCAAAGGCATAAACAACCAATAGTGCCAGTGAAATGCTAAGTGGCTTCTTCTTGAGACACCCTCATTGGTAAAGCTGTGCCTAAGCAGCCAAAGCAAAAATTGGTAACAGCAGAAATTAATTAATGACTAAGTCGGAGTGGAATGTCTATGTCTATGGAATGAGTTACATCCACATTAAAACCAAATGAGGCTGCTATGATTAATGCAAATACAATGGATGCCAAAGGCATTACTAATGATCTGACACTTTCTCTAAGCATCTCCACTGAGTCTGCACTGTTTCAAAACACACAGGGGTCCTCATATATTGGAAGTCCATCTCTTTTGCAACTGCGCCTTTAAGTTTCATTTTAATATGTGCTGTGTGTTCAGATGCATTTTTAATTTCTCCTGCACCTGCTGTATAGGGAGCTATTTCTGGTACAGCAGATGGGTTCATTTTAGGCAAGCTAGGAGAAGGAAGAGGAGAAAAAAAGTGTCACAATAGCCGCCACTTCCCCCCCCACCACCTTTTTTTAAGCAAGGCAAGAGCAAGCTAGAACTATCCCAAGCTGCTTTATAAATGCCTCAAGAACTGTAACTCTCAGCTGCCTCCTCCCCTTATACAACACATCTGTAGGAGCCAAATACGTCACTTGAAGGCAGTTGTTTCACTGAAAGCTATTTCATGTATATACTGCCAGTTAATGGTTACGAAGACAAAACTACTACCCAGGCTCTGCCCACCTCTGGAAGCTGGGGTTGTGGAGAATCTTTAATTTTTATTATAAATCTTAAATTTATCTAAAATGGAACATGATACTGTTATCCTCATCTTCAAAGCTCACAGGAGGAGGGTTTTCAAAAACCAGAACCAAGCTACTTCTCTATAGAAGATTTGAACACAGAGATATGTTTGTAGACCAGCAGCTCCTTCCCCAACTCACAGTCCAGCCCAGAGTCCAAGACGACCACTTCTATTTTCTTAACCTCTCCTGGGCACAATCTCCCTCCTTTCAGGCCCCAGCACCGGCAGTAAATAACGAAGCCTTTTCAAATTAGGTAACCAGTACAGAACTGAGGATATCAGCAAGCAACCTCTCCTAACAGTCTTGTCTCCCCTGTGCCATGAGGGGCGCTGGCACAGCAGAAATCACCCGGGTCACATTCAGTGGTGTATCGACATTCCTCATATTTCATAGGCAGCTTGTTATGGCCTCAAAGTTCAACATGCAGATTCTTAGCAGAAACTTTATTTTCATGACAGGAAAGCAAAATGTTAGGCTATAAGCATGGAACTACTGCTTTTCACATGGATGATTCTTACTGACAAGAGTTTTGAACCTTAAAAAAATAAACGGTAAGCACCAGAGACTGAAGAGCTGTCAAGTGTTAACAGCTAAGGAAAAGCAATTTGTAGAACAGAACTCTCACATCAGATAACACCTTCCACTCCACAAAAGACATTTTAAAGTCTTCACGCCATTAAGCAGGAACAGAGACCATGACTTACACTATCTAACAGATGAATGCCACAGTTGCAAAGACTACTTACAAATTTCAGAAGAAAGGTATTTTCTCGCAAAGCTCCAATGCATCCTGCAAATCCCAAAATGAACATAACTCCTCCTACCACTAGGAAGAGCCAAACTGGATCAAAGCCTCCCAGGTCGGTGATGGAGGAGATATTGGACAGCACTCCCTGGGAAAGAAACAATGCCAAGGGATAATGAGTATGTTCAGTTTTCAGTTGTACCAATTCTGCTTGCATTTTTCTTTTGTAAAAGGTGGAAGACTACAGCAAATAGATGTTCTGTAATACAGCAAGAAAACACAATTAAGGAAATACGTGCTTTCAAAAAGAGATTAAAAAGGTGATTATGTACAATATTTCTGAATCAACATGTGGAATAAACAACAAAATCTGCTTCTAGAGTCCTCTGTGAGAAACCCACAGGGCATTTTGCTGCTTCTGCAGCTATGAGAATTAGTCTACCAGAAAGTCAGAATAGATATTTGAAAAAACCTTAATCTTATTAGCCATGCTGAGATGCATTTTAAGTATAATATACGTTGTTTATGTAAGCACACAGCTACACATTATGACAGAAAAAGCAGTCGACAGCAAGAACACCATCTTGAATTTAACATTTATGATCAGTATTTACAAGAAGTGACAGAAATTAGAAGTGAGTTCCTAGGCAGCTGAATCTTGCAACAACAAATTCTACACCAAATTCTGACAAACTATATACTTGGCCAGTTCAACTGCAGGCATCTACAACGCCAAAAACTCATAAAGTATGGCTACTGACTAATCAGTTAGCAGGAAAAATTTGAAAATAATGTTGTTTCTTAGTAGGACATAAGGCAGTTTAAGGACTTGTCTTGGGAGATGGCTCACACTAACTTAGGTTAGACCTATCATATGCTGTGTTTTAGATAGGCCAGTCAGCACAGTCTGCTTGTAGCGCATTGCCCCCCTTAGAAGCAGAGCTTGGGTTGCGACGCCAGTAATCCTGAGGAACGATTTTATTTTTCTGAACACATTTTAACCAGAGTTTGGCTGATGTTGAACAGATGGGTCATATCAAGCAGCAAGTACAAAGTTTTCCTTATTCCAGTGAGTTTGCACAGGAACAGTTACAGCTTCCTAAACCCTTTTGGCAGCAAAAAAGCCAAAATATCACTATTTTTTCATTCACTTCCCCAGTGCTGCAGGGTCAATGCAAAGCATCCTGCATCTGTCCATGTGTTTCCTCAAAGAAGCCTGAACCTAGGCTGAGTGCTTTGGATGACTGCTTTCCCTTCTAACGCCTGAATGAAGCTGTGGCTCAAAAAGCAACCTTTACCTCTACAGGTCCTTATTTGCAGAATTATTAAGTTCTTCATCCTTTTCCCTGTTCATATCCCCTTTGCTTCTTTGAAATAGTCCCAAAACAGCAATAATTTTGAAGGAAGTTATCATAACCTCATTTCCAAAAGTTGTTAGCAACATTGTTAACAGATGACTGTTCACAACTGTGAACAGACCTGTGATTTATTTCTTTATTTTTATACATACATACACACACTCATTTTGAACCACCCAGAACATACAAATAGTCACATAATCAATGTCTCTAATACAGTACTCCACACAGTCTGCAACCACTTCCATAGTTTCCCAAGCAAAACTGACATTGAGCAAGCAGTAAACAAAGACAGTATTCAAAGGTTTTTAATTTTGCAGACAATAATAGACTGGATAAAATTTACACATTAATTTCTCCAATGCACGCACCAGGGAGCCTTGGAAAGGGCCAGCACGCTAAAAGCAAAAGGAAAACCTGGCTACAACCCAGTCCTAAAGTATGAACAATAAACCAACAGCATGAATGACTTTCTCAAACCAGATTCCTCTCCCTCCTACAACAGAAGGCTATTACTTGAGAGTGATTAAAAAAATAATCACATTCCTCACTTTCCTCCTACATTACATATAGTACTAGTCTTATTGTCATTCACTAAAAAGACACAAATAGACGTAAGGCATGATATAACACAACGCTACTCAGAGCCAGTATTGCTATCAAAGGAGACCAGTTGACACATCCCTTTTTTAACTAGCTAGTGATGAGATGCTACAGGCTGAAATGAACACTTATCTGTCGTTAACACTTCAATCAACTTGTGTGAAAGTTTTCCACTATTTGTGCTTCATTACATTTGTCATAGAAAAGAAATCAAAGACAATTTTCCAGCTAAGAATGACAAGAAAATAAACAGTATAATCAAAACCTTTGAAAGCCTTGGCCATACGCAAGTCAGGAAACATGAGATCTGCCCCAAGGGAAAAAGACTGCTAAAATGAGCTCTTCACAATGTTTAAGTCCTTTCTGCGTTTCCCCTCTGTGTCTATATAGTTATCATAAAATGAAAATAAATTCTGCCTTAAAGCAAACAGTACTACTCATTTCTTTTAACATTAGCTGATTTTGGAATTAATGGACTGTAGTGCAGCACAGTGAGAAAACAGTCACTGGAGAAAGCATGTTGCCTTTGTATTATAATTATTTTACTTCAAAAAAAAAAATCCAAGAAGGATGAACAGTCATTTAAGTCTCTCTTCATAAGACAGTCTTTCTTAAAAAAAGAAACCAAACACACAACAAATCACTATGCTTAATCAAGCTATTTCCACATGAAAGTAGTAAACTCAAATGAAAGAAGAAATACAAGTGAAATTCAGCTCACATTTATGGATGGTGCTCTTAGAGAGTCTCGTCATAATACAAAGTGTTAGTGAAAAGAAATATACCACTTTGCATTTTGTCACACTCACATTAAAGTCAATGGCAATAAAATTCAGTGAATCAGTTGTAATTGTCTTTCTGATCGTGTCCTTTCCCACCTTACTTGATTTTTTAGCATTGCCTGGCTCATAGCACCTTAGCATGCTACATGTTGGCTAGCCACCTAATCTCTGGTCTCCTCCAGACTCCAAATCCTCAGGGTAGCTTGATGTGACGTGTACTGAAACAGAACAACACAAGCTTTATCTGCCATTGTTTGCTGTCCTTGGAAAGCATCTTTATGTGCATCTTTTGCTAGTCCACATATGGCAATCATAAGCCTAGTTTGGATAAACCCCAAATAATACATTCTGACAGTGCAGAGCACATACTGTGTAATTCTCGTTTGTACTCTGTGTGCTCTCTGTGTATGAATCTCAAGTAATCAGTATTCTGGAGAGACATCTCACAACAGACAATCTTCAGAAAGGCTTTGGCAATAAAACAATAGTGAGCAGCAGACAATGGTCTGTGCGTACAGCTAGAGATGCACAGAGGCAGTCTGACAGAAGATAGCTGCTTACTGCTGAAATACATTTTTTCCAGTCTTTTTTTCTGGACACTTACAAGTAAGCTCTCTGAAGAGACAGCAGTGCAATACTTTAAAGAAAATAATATTTTGCTTCAAGAAGCAGGGCAATGACCAAGAAATATTATCTCACTTTATACTGTTAAAAAGAATTAAACGTACAGTCCTAGAGACACACACTTTTCCTATCCACCGCAAGTTTCTACAATGCCTGCTACCACAGTATTCAGTATTTTTCGGCTGTAATGGCTTCTGCTGGGGAAGTTTGTCAGATACGTACAAACGCCTGGTAGTGACCAATTTTGTCTTCATCCCATCTTTATCCAAAAGCAGAAGGGAACATTTCCAGAGGTGCTTGAGCAGAGTATCAGGAAACTCCTATTCTAACACTGCATCCTCCAGTGACACACCCCAAATCCTCAGGCTGACCAGTCACAGAATATACAGTGACTGTCGACTGTTCTCTCACATCAACGCAAGACCTAAACAAACCACCTGTAAATCCTTTAAAAGTCAGACTTTCTACAAATGCAAAGTATTTTTCTCAGCAAGAGAAAACCTTTACTGTTAAAACCTCCGCTCCAACCTTTACTGTTAAATAGTTACAAGTACTATTGATGCTTCAGCATCTGAAAGGATTTTTTTTTCTCTAAAACCCACATTTTCATTTTGTGAGTATGGTTATTTTTCTGAGGTACACACACCTCTCTTTCTTGGTAGTTTAGGCATGTGCATAATCTTTATTTGGCAGTAAACACTTTGTTTTGCAAAGCTACATACTCTAATACTTTTCTTCTCATGATGGCGTTCATCCCGGGCTCTGCTGCAGTCCCACAAGGAGAGCCAGCAGGACATGTTCCCTGGCTGATCTCCAGCTCATCTGTTTGCTCTGTTCCCCCACCCCCAATCGCCTGCTGTACAGTACAGTGCCTGGGTTATTATTTAACCTTTTAATCTACCAGAAGTCAAAATTTGTTTGGGGTAGTGAAGCAACCAAAGCATCATCCATAATTGAACTAAAACCAATAATGGTGAAGTTATGAAAAAACTTCCTTTACTTTTGAAATGTGCTTCACTTCCATCACTAGGATACAATGATGTAGGCATGGAACAGGAAAGACTGACCTCATATTCCTACCCCACCCCAAATTCAGGAGAGCACACAGACTAGATTACTGACAAATGAAGGTGTGCCCTTATAACATAACTCGTACTCCAACCACTAGCAGGCATTCAGTCCATGAGATCACACTGGAACTAGGCTGAAGAAAACTCAAACATTTCAAAACCTATTGGTCCACACTACTTGCATTTAGCAGACATGGTCTTTTCGTGATGGACCCAGAAAGTTACTTTAATTTCCCCAGAAGGTATAGATGCCAACACAGACACCTTGGTTGGAGCAGTGCCCCACTGCTGGCACACTTAGACCATCTGATTGTGTTCCTGGTTCCTAATCAGGCCAAATAAAAGGGAGTCACAACCGTATTAACAAACTAGTGAGATTACCAGGCCATCTGTGGTTGTGGTTAGTGTAGAGAATCCACTGCTACATTCAGGTCTCAGAAATGTTCCCAGAAGTTTGCCAGACCATTGCTTCTCCCTCAAACAACTGATTTCACAGGCACAGTAGCATACTGCAGGGCAAGAGAGAATGGCTCCAAGTGGAAACACTCTAGGCAGCAGCAACTTTGAAAAGCCCACCCAGTAATGAAAGTTAAAGGCATCTTGAATCGGAGGCAACTTAGGAGAATCATCATCCTAGAGAACAAAGAAGTGATACACCGTGAATGTACATGGAATTTGGCCCATGGGAGTGTATGTAAAAGAATTGGACTC